AACTTCGTCAATACACTGATCCACAATGCCTTGATTGTGTTCTTCATTTCGATCCAGCTGAAAGGTGTGAATGAGGGCGATAATCTTCGGAAGATCATGAGGATCCACCATCGTGAGCATGATCTCCCTGTCGAAACATGTGTCTTTCAGCCCAATGATTTCTTCATCGGCCCATTTGCGAAAGTAATCAAGAGAACACCAGGTAAGATGATTCTTTTCAGGGTCCTCCATACAACGCTGATGGGCTACCTCGACAGGGGTGTTCACATAAATGATATGCGTGAACGGCCTATCGAGGGTACCATCATCCAGAAGTGTCGTGTATGGATGGTCGCCGAAGTCGTCCGGTTGCATGTAATTAGCTGTGGCGATCCCTGTGACCCCAGCATCATCACATTCATGTCTGATGGATTCAAAGGCGCTATCATAGACAGACCAGTGAATAGGGCAGGCGTTTTTGACCTCTTCGTACTCATAGAACGAAAAAGGGCCCCCCTCGAGCTCCCTTCGGAGCTGATTCAGAAGATGCGTCTTTCCAGATCCGGGAAGGCCAAAGATGCCTATCAGATTTTGTCTGGGTGGACCGGATGGATTCAAGTTGTTGCTTATGAATCTTCCCGACATGATGTAGTGATATTGCAGTAACCGGAACAGTATGGGTTACAAGAAGTCTGGTTATGCAGAAAAGACAGGGCCTTGTCAAAGCAGGTATGTATCGATGGCCTGGGGAGAAAAATAGAGTATGACAAATGCTCCACGGGTCAGCGATGAGTCGATAGAGGAAGTGACATTCAAGGTACAAAAACTACATACTTATATGAAGACAAGAGCAACCATGGGGATCACAAAAGCATGTAAATAAAGCATGAAGTCCGTTGCTAGAGCTTGAATCGAGGAAACCCCCACTGTGTTACATGCTTGCTATTCTGCCATATCGGTGAGCACCGTACGATCTCTTGACTGTTGCGCCGTGGTTGGTATATCTGAAGTTCTCCATTTGAAACACTATCTCATCTATGAGGTAACTTCGCGGTACCAGTGATTCTTGATCACTGATAGGTCCCTCCAATTACAATCAAAATAAGCACGGCCCCATCGGAAACTCCCGTATATGACATTAATAAAGGGGCTCTGCCCATATCTGCTACAATAGATGCGCGGGTAATCGCACACATTTGAAAGCAGTTCCTCAACTCTTTATTCTTGGCAATTCCACAAACATCGGAACGAACAAACAACAAAGCAGCCTGAAATCGGGGGCAGCCGAATAATTTATATCATTATCACCAAGAATATACACCCAAAGTGAGGCGAATCAAAATAATTGGTCCACAATCAGCACCATGAGTTGTCCTCAGACTGCTTAGTGATAAACGGCTGTTTCAATTCGTTCTAACCACCCCACTTGAATGCGTCAACGTGGACAGCTCCACAAAATCACATATCACGATCGTAAATACACCCAAACCCCAATTCAAGTCTAATACTAAACCACGGAAACACCCATCATCACTACCACTGTTCCCGTCTACAACCGAGAAAGAAAAGACCAAAAATGGTCTTCAAATCCCTCCCCAACCTCCTCACAACCCTAACAACCATCTCCAAAACCACGCACGACCTCCTCTCCACCATCCTGATCGCTCAAGACTCCCACGGCGACAACCCCCTCTACGCCAGCACGGCCCTCACCCTGGCCAGCAGCTTCGCGCCCCCCGCGCTCGCAGCAATCACCATCCACCAAGCCCTTGAAACCAACACCCAACTACGCCAAATCTCCTCCCACCTGGGCACCATCTCCGACACTCTCGCCCGCGACAATGCACTGCGCGTCGCATCCGAGTTCCCCACCCTCGTGTACAACATGCTCCAACACAAAATCAAGTCTGAGCCTTCCTCCATATGGTACCTCGTCTACCACCCCGACACGATCTGGCGACATCATTTCGAAGATTTGGTGCTGAAGCGGGGTGTGCTGGGTGAGCGGTTCATTGGCATATTTGGAAGTTTGGATGCGGTGGTTATTTATATGCAGGCTATGAGGAGGGCCGGGGTTGGGAGAGGAGGAGGGGGTGAAGGGGAGGTGCATTTCAGGTTACTTATTCCGGCCTATTATCCGATTACGGTGGAGACGCCGGTCAAGTTCCCGGTGGAGAGTATTGAGCCGTTCGATGTTTATTGTGATGTGCATAATGGGGTACCACTGGTGAGGATGTTTCTTCCCGGCGTGAGGGAGGGCGAGTTGGGGAATGTGGGGTTGTGGAAGCCGCAGAGGGGGTTTTGGGAACAATGTAAGTCTTAACATATTATTCTGTGTTTGAGGATCGGGATGCTGATGAGGTATTAGTATTCGGGATAGGGAATGGGCAGGATGAGAATCCCAGGTTGTTGGGGATGCAGGTATTGCATGATGGGGAGATAGGGAAGACGGACGGATTGGTGATTCATGATCAGTCCGTCGATGAGACAATACGACAACCTGGCGAGCAGGTACAAGTGCAAGAGAAGATGCGTGATGTGCTGGCAGAAGATCCAGTGAGTGGTGACGAGTACATATACGAGGAAGCCGTTGGTCGAGGAACAGATGATGAGTTGGAGCGCGCCTCTACAGCTGCATCAGCTGGAGAGACCGAACAGCATACTATCCGACATCATTCGCGTCGACATAAGAGTCGGCACAGCACTGCATCCCAGGCTGGATCCGTGGCTGGCAGTGACTTCTACTCGGTTTATTCGTGGACCTCTGGTCAGAGCTCCCGTAGCTCAGGGAGGAGACACAGGCGTCGACATGACAGTCGGAATGGGAGCGATCGAAGCAGTCGCCGATGAGTCGCAGCTGCGACGAAGAGCTGAACTGTCAAGGCACACATTTGCCGACAGACTACCAGCTACAGATGTGGCAACGGTCGTACTGTGGGGCTGCATACTCGAACCGTCCTGAGAATAACATGTCATTTCCATCAATCAGGCTAAACTCATATTACATGCAATGTCGCCGTTGATTAGGTATATCGCCACTATCACTCCAACGCAATCGTCTTCGCCTTGGGTCCACCACACTCATACAGCGCCAACAGCCGTCTGTCATCGAGAGTGAAGATGCCCGGCCAGTGACTCGACTCCCGACACACAGTCGTGGGCCTCGTCCACATAATCCTCCCCTCGTGGGGCATGGACCCAAAGACAACCTTGACACATGCATTCCTGGTCCAGTTTACCTCATCGAAATCCTCATCGCACATGAAGATAACGGCCAACGACCCATCACCCAAACTAGCAATCTGCGGGGCCCCAGCATTATGTCCCTGCGCGGGCACATACACCTGCTGCCTGCCACCCCACGTCTCGCCATCATCGTAACTAACCAGCGCCTCGACATCGAACGTGCCATACGTGGTCGTCTCAAACACCATAACCAACGCCTCGCAATTCCTCGCCTGATCCCACGTCCTCGCAATACCATTCATACCATCTCTGCGCTGATCCTCCGCCCCGTGCAGACACTGCGGTGCCGACCACGACGAACCCCCATCATACGACCTGACGAGCATCGTGCACTGATTGTTATGCGCAAACTCCTGCGAATACGTGAGCTGGATCTCGCCCGGCCGACGACCCAGTCTCATAAACGGTTCCCAGATACCCAAGGGCGCGGGTTTCTCTGCGGCCTGGGAGGCGAAGGACCAGCTGCGCCCGGCGTCCGTGGAACGGCAAACAGTGATGCGGAAGTGTGTAGGGCCACCAGGGCCAATATCGTGATTACGGAAGGCAGCAAGGACAGTTCCAGGTCCGATCTCGAGAAGGTACACGTTGTCGACGTCGCCCTTGCCGCGGGTGATTTCGCCATGGTCGGTGAAAGTTTGGCCGTTATCCTCGCTGATGGAGACCATTAGGAGGCGTTCACCGCCGCCGACAAATCGTGTGAATGACGCGAGAATGCGACCGTCGTGAAGGCGTGCGAGGCGTGGGTAGGTGCCTGCGGGGTGGGGGGAGAGGAGGCGCTCGTCATTGTGGATGACGCGGTTGCCGGCGAGACGGTTGTCGCCCGGTGGGGGCGGTTGTTGGTAGGGCTGGCCTTGGCCATGGCCGTGGTGACCGTGATGGTCAATTCCGAGGGTGTTGAGGATTTTCTGGCCGAAGTGTCCAGGCATGATGAGAGTATTAAAGAGAATGAAAGACGGATAAAGTTGGAGTGGGAGGTGTTTGGACCCTGGGACCCTGAGAAGCTGACAGGCGGGGTATTTATTTGGAAATGGAGTCAAAGTGGGGAGTGGCTGAGGCCCAGGATGACGTCATCAGGGGGATCGGCGGTGAAACACGGTTGCCTGACCTGATGCTATAATTATGATGATGTTCACTCAGCTGGTTAGCCATGTTGGTGAATTGTTGGAGTCATGGGCGGGTGAATGGTGGTTGGTGATGCGATGCGGTGGGGTGAATTGCGAACAGGGCATACCGAGGCGGCATGTAGGGCTGATCCGCACCTGTCATGGCCCTGTTTCGTGGGGAAGAATTAAGTGTCGGTAGCTTGATTGGGTGGGAAGCTTTGTTTTGATAGTTTCCGGCTATGAGGTACGTAATTTCCGTTTGATTAGTGTAACTACTACCCCTTGATTATGGGCTGTGAAAGCCAATAATCCTTCTTGATCCCTCTGTATCTAGCCAGAACGAATAACACCCCCTGTTAAGGCAGTGTTTATCAAACAGCCTCAGCGCTAACACGTCTTGGCTAACCATCAGTATCTTGGTACCGGCATCTCCACACTACCCCTACTGAAATGTTCAATGCCCAGAGCGTATGCATTTCCAGACGGCGATCACTTTCATCCACTATATTTACACCATGGTGCACAAGGGAACTTGTCATATCGTTGCCGTCACGCCTTCATCTGTCTAGCAGATCATCTACATAGTACTATAACTTCTTCAGAAACACGTCTCGAAGATGGATGTAAGCCTAACCTACCTCTATTGCCCATAAGCTACTAAAATATATAAGAATGAACGAGGACGAGCGGCTGAAAGAGAGATATGTGAAATTCGACCCGATCGAGCTTCAGCGCGTTGCTGGGAAAGCAATGGGAGAAGACCATTGTTTCCATATCATCAAACTCGCAGAAGGTGGCTTCAACAAAGTCTTCCTATTTAGAACAACTTCTGGTAAAGAAGTCATAGCACGCATTCCCGCTCCCATTGCCGGCCCACCCCACTACACCACCGCCAGCGAGGTTGCTACGATGTCCTTCTTGCGAGATATTCTAGGAGTTCCGGTCCCAAGAGTACTGGCGTATTCGGCAGATTCGACCAATCCAGTTGGATCAGAATATATAATAATGGAGCGGGTAAAAGGCGTGAGCGGTTATCTCTCACTACAGCGGATGTGGCTAGTTTGATGAAACAAATAGCGGAAATTGAAGCGAGGATTTTTGCGTATCCATTCCTAGGGTACGGAAGTTTATATCGCAATAGAGAGCCGGAAGAGGAACCAAACATACCACTTTCGGTAGAAGACTTCTGCATTGGTCCTATTGCTGCGCGGCAGTTCTGGCATGGTGATCGAAGTAATACCAAGATTGATCGCGGTCTTTGTTAGTGTTTCCCTGAAGTTATTGTTATGAAGCTAACCCTTGCAAAGGGCTCTCACCTGAAGACTGCTTTACATCTGCTGCTCGGCGAGAGACCACTTGCATACTGCAGTATGCGAAGCCTCAACCTCGAAGAACCTTTCTCCTTCCTACCAGTTTCGATATCGACCCTTCGGAGCTTACCTCGCTTCTTTCAGAATTCCTGCAACTTGCCACTCTTTTGGTACCAAAAGACACATTTCATGATGCTCTCATTCTACGACATCCTGACTTGACTCTGAATAATATATTACTGAAGCCTGGCTCCGCAAAGATTGCGAGCATTATAGACTGGCAAGATAGCATCATCATCCCACTGTTTTTGCAAGCAGGCTACCCAGCCTTTTGCGAGCATGATGCGTCGAAGGCTCAAACCTTACAGGCTCCACTTCACCCAGATAAATTTTACGATATGAGCAGCGAGGAACAGATGGAAGCAAAAGCTAAATGTCGCTCCGAGGAAGCAAACCTCTACTACACAGCAGCTACTGGGTTGTATAATGGTAACCACTGGAGCGCCTTGAAGATCCCGCACCTTGGCATGCGACAATATCTACATCAACAAACAGGATACCTTTGGGATGGAGATGTCATCAATCTTCGTGCTGCTCTTGTTGGTATCACAACTCCGCAAGTTTGGGACGCGATTACGTCAGAACGGTGTCCGGTGGTCTTTTCTGATCAGGAACGGCACACAGCAATCGAGGAAGCAAATGAGTGGAATGAGTGCGAAGAACTCCTGGATATTATCAGGAACGATTGAGGTATTGACCCCGAAGGTGGTACAGAACCCGCAAACTTTGAGGAGGATGAGCGTGATATTTGCTGGCGGACCTGGCCTTTCAAAGATGATACAGATTTCTCCTCTTCGTCTTTAGTGTGAACTATATTTCATTACGAAGGTAAAGTTGCCTCTTGGCTACCATCAGTGTTTCATTACGCATTGCTTCATTACGAATGCTCCTGTCTAGTAAGGCAACGAGAGTGCACCCATCGGGGTTGGTCAAATTGGTCGACGTGTCTGTGAATCTATGAACACATGTCACAATCATGGGCCTATATTCTCTCGGCAGACTGCTGGAATCCTCGTTATTTGGTTCTGATCCTTGTCACAATTGACAAAGCAGACTCTATATTCAACGCCCCAGAATTAACTAATCTATAGGCTCCGAGGCTCAAAGCCACCAACTAGTTCATATAAATACTGCCATTGTGAGTTCTCCGTGGATTCCTATACATGTCTACTGGGTTCTTTCTACACAGAATTTCCCATCAGAACCTCCACGTATGTATTTTTTCTGGCAGGAAAGGTCCATTTGGTATAGTTACTGACACCACAACACAGGCTACGCATTATATCTCAGACAAAAATGTGCCTAAAAGAGCTTCCCAACGTGTATACTTGGAGCTGCGCGCACAGGATGCCCGAAGGCGGGGAAAAAACCACTGGTGCAAGCCCGCGATTGAAAGAGGCTCGTCCTGCAAGCACCCAATTACAACCTCCAAGGGTGCCACTCGTGGACATGGCAAAAGATATCTCTGTCCCAGATGCCGTCAGGAAAGGGATCCCAAGAGACGCAAGGATGATGATGCCACTGGGGCTGGGGTTCGGGCTCCACACTTGCTTCTCAGCCCCATGGTATCAAGGTCAGTGCATAGTTCACGAGGATATTACGAGAGGGCTAGCTTGAGCTATAATCTGAAGGCCTAATGTGCGCAAAATTTAGTAATTTATTCATTTAACTCTCTTGGTCAATCCATTTCAGACTCTTCTTGACGAGGTTTATTCCTTTTGTCCGAGAAGCAACAGTAGTATATGGTTCAAAATTCAGAGATCATTTGACTTCTATGGCCGCGCCTGACGCGTTCTGGATTTGCCTAGCTTAGTAAGTCGTCGTGAAACTGTGAATATCTCCATGTCGGCCTTAGCTACGTTGTGTTCACTACATTGACATACTAGATGGCTAATTGTGCTAGTTCTCACCGCCTCACTGGAGCTATAACAGTGAGCATTTACTTCATGACATCCGTAGCATGGACCTGTCTCCAAGTGTTGGTCGCAGAATTCCACAGCGTGATTCCATCATGCTTCATTTCACAAGTCCGTTTCGCTGGCATATATGGACGTCACTTTGGGTCTTAATCGCCATTTTTCCATTGGAATCAATCTCATCCAATCCCTGCCCAAAGAGACTGCCAGACCAGATTTTGGCGATGATGGTGGGTCTGACAATGTAAAGACACATTTCCCGCGTTTCCGTATCCCAACAATGGGCTGTAATTACAATTTACTAATCCGACAAGCTAGATTGCTGAATCCTCCAAAGAAACACCCAATGTTATCGTCGACCACCTGCGTACCGATCAACAAGCTAAATGCAACAAGAAAATTGTGCACCTGAAGCAGCCACCAAACTTTATCGCCATGGGCTACTCCGGATATATCTGCAAAGCCGATGAAGATACCATCATCAAACATCCAAGGTACCTTCCCGATAATGAGCCTTATAATGAGATGTACCGCGATATGATCAGCACCGAGAAATAGATCTATGAGCGCCTGGGAAACCATAAAGGGATTATTCCGTTCCTGGGCGTGCATGATCAGTCAACAGGCGCAATTAAGCTCGCATACGCACCTGAAGGAGACCTTGAAAGCTACATTCAGAACCATGATAAGCCATCTGAAGCAATCCGCGCCTCATGGATTCAATCAATAGTCGAGACATTCTGGCATATCTATTCTTGCAAGGTTCTCCATCAGGATGTCAAGCCCAACAATATACTTGTTCATAATGATAGCCTGAAGGCCGCTGACTTTGCTAATGCCGAGATATATGCGTTGGATGTTGATATGGAGGCTATCTACATGGAAGAACCTTTTCCGCGAGTCAATATACTCGGCATTGGATGCATCATATATTCTATCGCAGCGTGGCGTGCCTTCTGGTATGACTACTTTGAACAAGGTCCCTGGCCGGAACCAAGGGATATCCCTGTGACAACTGGTTTACTTTGTGAAAATATCATCAGGAAATGCTGGAGTAACAGCTATGAGAACATGCAGTCGCTGTATGAGGACTTCAATGCTTCCACTAGCACGGATCTGCCGCTTGCGAAGGAAGAGTAATCGGTGTTAATTTACATCCTGAGTATGTGGGCATGTGGCACGCTTTACTGGGTCTTGAAGTTCCGTCAGAGTCCATCGAATCTTTATGGGAAATACTGAAATTACAATCATTTTCTACCTAAGGACCCCACACTCTGGTCACTGAATATAGTAAAGTAGTCTCGTTTCGTATCGATGATGACCTTTTTTTTTTTGCCAGCATTAACAGCGCACTTAATGAATTGGCCTATAGCCCAAGACTGGATCAAGTCAAAGCACCGCCGTACCACATCATTCCGTGCTATAGTACTATTCAATCAATATCCATCATGTCACTATCCTCCGGCTCAGGCAATGGCGCGAACGATATCACCCGCCCTTTCGGCCTCCAGAATTGTCTCTCCTTAGCCCTCAAGGGCCGAGGTCTGTCGGGTCGTCGGTCACGATCATAATTCCAGGTGCGAAGCACCCACCGCAAAAGCATTATTCCATGAAGAAGATCATAGGCATCCAATTTGAACGGATTTCTCTCTCCAGGGACGTATTGATATGTGTGACGGAACATACCCGGTTTGATCCTAGCCATTTCATGTAAAGTCCAGATGGCAGTGATGTCTACGATATTGTTCATTGTGACCTTGTCCCAGTCCAATCTGGGAGGTTCTGTATCGTCAAAGATTGATATATAAGCCACGTCTTGGGACCAATAGAATAGCTGCATGTCAATAGTCAGGATGTCCCTTGCGTCGTCGTGGGCCCTCTTTGAAGGCTTCATGCAACCGACGAAGTCCTCGACAATTTTCTCCATCCTTGGGCCGCTCCGGTAGCAAAGGTCCCATATCTCTGTAGTAGCGTTCATGCCCCAGGCCCCGGCGAGGAGTTCATCGTCTGAGCTTAGCTGCTTTACATACCCGGCGGTGTAGTCGATTCCTTCGATCTCGTTATATTTCTCGTCTTCCGAAGGGCGGGGATGGGGATTGTGAATGCTGCTCTCTAGGTCTGTGATAGACAATATTAGTACATTATAATTGGGGCTAGATATGAAATGCCCCAAACGGTTATAAGGAATGATCGAAACAATCAGGTACTTACTAGCCATGATTCTGACCCTTCGTATAGCTTTGCCCACAGTTAATCTGACTTGCCGTTTCTAGTTGATGGGTTTTATCCTGAGCCTGTATTCGACAACTGGCGCTCTCTCTTATACAAGTCTCAGGCTATAGGAAAACTAAAATACTACTAGACTACATCGGGTACTTCCTCCACTTCGATGTAGCAGGGGTGCATGAGTCAATATGCCTAGACAGCCTGACATCCCGTCATTCATTGTGTAACCCAGCCCTATTCCCTAGGTGGCGCAAGTGAATTTGCAATGCTGGAGTTTCCAGCTATCTAATTAGACCTTAACTGTGTCATACGCAGAACAGCAGGGTAACTTATTCCTTTGCCTTGTCATTCTCCAGGCTAATTCCGAATGTTGATATAAATTTGCCTTTACCCTGGAGGCGCCCCTTTTCGGCATCAGTAAGTATGAGTGGCACTGTATTCTCCCAATTTTGATAATTGTAGAGACTACAATTGGTCAAGTGGCATGGTGCTTAGTCAGTAACGTAGTATTGTCTCTAGCAAGTGCATTCGTGTACTAGTACCTAATTCTGTCACGTAAGCTTCTTTGTTACTTCGTTATTTTCTCGATTCTACAATATGGAACATTTCATCATTTTGTAACATAATATGGAGTTGCAGAGTAGATATCGAAACATACAAGCAAGCCTGTCTACGCTTACTGGGAGGTGGGTCTATTTCCAAGGATGCATAGTACTATCTGCTCGGATTCGTTGTTACAAGAGAACAAAATACACTCGAAATGCTGATTGCAATGTGTTGGACAAAATTACCATAAAGCGAAGCATATGTCACATATAACTCAGCTCCTACGGAGATTGATTCTGGCAGTATAAAGAGCGTCTCCGTCTAAAGGCAGCCTTGCTTTGCCACCTTACTTGTTTTGTCGATTGTGATACAGAAAACTTCGATTTTGGAATTGAGACTCATATAATAAACCCTCCACAGATTATTCTTTCCAGATCCACCAACTAATTGCACTGAATGAAGAGTATGACAAATTCTAATAATTCATTCCTACCAAAGGGGCGTATTCCCCCATGTTTCGCTAATTGGAACCCATAAATATCTGCATAATCTTGGAGAGAAAATCATCCAGATGCTCCTTGACCCAGCTGCCAGCCTCATATAGGATATCCCATAAACAAGCACACGCGGAATTGATCTCATCAAAGACCTTTTGGAATCCGGTCTTGATACCATCCCAGACCTTAGAACAGATATCGCAGATATATTGCCAGAACCCGTGATTTTGGGACGAACTATCATTGGAAGACTCATCGTTGAAGGATGGATCATCGAGCAATCCATCATCAGACCGTTCATCATCAGACCATTCTCCCTCGCATGCGCTATCCTCATACAGTCCAGGATCAAATAACAAGTCCGCTGCAGGCGTACCGTTAGATGTATCATCAGGACGTGCCTCATCGTTAGATGTATTCTCCTCTTTTGGGTTATCAGAACACTCCGCCGTGCCGTCAGGAGATCCGAACAACTGCTCTTTCAATAAGATCCATTCTTGATCCAGTTGTCTCCTCATATCAGGGGTGATGCGTGAGCGCATGTAGGGGGGGACATATCCACTGCGCCTTTTTGCCTCAGATCCTCCATGTTGTGAGGATCCGGATGCCCACCCGGAATTGAAAGGGTCTCTAGTGTCGCATGTGAGAATAGCATTATTTGATAACATTGTTCAGTTAGTGTGATTCGATGGGGACGACTCACTCATTCGCATGCATCTTTCGTGGTGTAGCCTTGGCCCGGTGTCTTAGTGATATTCGTTCCAACTTGCAGGATGGTGATGAGAATAGAAATACCCCATAAATATATTACAACAGTCTCCGGGCGGAAGAATACTCCGGAGAACGAATAAATGTTTCGCAACTATGACAGTCTTTGCCTGATATGACTAATATTATGCCAATCCAGGTAGTCAACAAAAATCCTGGAAACGATGTGAAAAGACCAGTTACACCGAGTGAGAGTAAATGAATATACTCCTAATTGTTAACTCGGGCTCAATTCGCTCAACCCCAAATTCGAACACTAAAAAATAGGTAAACCATTATAGCCAAAAAAAAAAAAAAAAAAAGATTCCGAACATATGCGACGTTGCATGTACACCAGACCCCATTTCACCCTTATATCATCATGTTGTACGGGGAGAAAGGTAAACAGACCCTCGAATATGGTCTGCAAAGAAAGGGGGATGGTTATGGCCGTTACATCTGTGCAACTCTGCAATATCCTTGGCGACTCGTCGATCCTCCAATTGCTGTCTAAAGAAGGACCACTGCTTGCTTTTCTGTGACAAACGTAGAATATGGACTGGAATAGCGAAGGTCTGTAAATGAGCGAGCTTGAAGTCATAAGAGAAATTGTTGATGTCGATCACAACGTATGCATGTCGCGGATACACATCGACGACGATTTTTCGCACCACGTGGTGTTCTTTCCAGGTTCTCGTGAGTGGTTCAGCGAGTTCAAATGCTGAATCCAGATAATTGTGTGGGTTTAGGATTTCGGTAGGAACATCAATCACAATGCGTAATGTTTTTAAATCTTGGACAGCTTTGAGTACATGTTCATTGACCTCGTCCATAATGGAAGGTATTATGTGGAGAAATACTGCGAGAAGTGGGTTGATAATTATAAAAGGGGTTGATGGATATCTAGACAGTTCCCCCCTGCATGCGTCACCTGACTGCAAAGCTATTGGCACCACTGTTTTGACTATTTGAGGACTCGTACAGGTTTCCCATATGCAACAAAGTACAACCATACAGCAGCATTGAGATGTCATCACAAATATGATTCCGTGTGCAGAGTAAACTAATCTGATATGATAACCCGTCCTAATCTTATCTCTATCCCCAACTCCCCATCCGGATATCCCCCGCATCGGAGACCTCCGCCAACACCCCTCATCTATAAGATAGTTTCTCCCACAATACAAACAATCCATTCAGATCGAACTAGTTCATAAGACCCCTAAACACTTCAACTCCAAACAAAATAATTGACCCGCCAAACCCACCAAAATGCTCCTAACCAACACCACAATCCTAACCCTCTCCCCAACCCGCACAATCCTCACCAACGGCGCCCTCCGCACCGAGTCCAATTACATAACCGACATCGACAAAACCCCCATCCTACTAGCCAAATACCCCGATGACGAAGTAATCGATCTAACCGGCCACATCCTCATCCCGGGACTGATCTCCACGCACATGCATACCGCCCAAACGCTTCTCCGTGGCTGCGCAGACGACCTCGAGCTGGTTTCCTGGCTGTGCGAGCGCATTTGGGTCCTGCAGGGTAACTTCACTCCCCAGGATGGATATGCGGCAGCGAGGTTGAGTATTGCGGAGATGTTGAAGAGTGGGACGACGTGTTTTTTGGAGAGTATGGTATTTCTCTCTTTCCCTTCCTTCCTTCATCCCTAGTTTTGGGGGTCGTGCTGATATGATACTGTGGATGGGTAGTTCGCAGACCGGTATGGCTTCGACGGACTATGTCGAGCCGTCGAGGAAAGTGGAATCCGAGGCTGCTTGGGCAAGATCGTCATGGATACGGGCCGATACGCAAAGGATGATGCGTGGGCGATGCACCCCGGATTAATTGAAGACCGGGAGACGTCGCTGCTGGGCACGATGAAGATGTGGGAGAAGTGGAATGGGAAGGCGGGGGATCGGATTAGGGTGTGGTTTGGGGCCAGGACGCCGGGGGGGTAATACACCCTTTCTATTTATCTAATTGATGCCTTCTGGTTATGGTAGCAACTGACAAATCTCCCAGAGTGTCTCCCGCCCTCTACAAAGAAATGACCGCCCTCTCAGCACAACATAACATCCCCATAACCATGCACTGCGCCGAAGTCTCCGCGGACCGGGACTTCTTCGCCTCCGTCGACCATACCCCCATGACCTACTGCGACAGTGTTGGCCTCCTCTCGCCCTCCACCGTGCTAGTACACATGGTACACCTCGACGACGGAGATATCTCCCTCCTCGCCAAGTCCGGCACGCACGTCGCGCACTGCCCCACCTCCAATGCGAAGCTCGCGTCGGGCACATGTCGAGTCCCGGATCTGCAGCGTGCGGGGGTGAATATCGGGCTTGGGACGGATGGTGCACCGTGCAACAATACCTGCGACATGTTGCAGGAGATGAAGCTAGCGGGGATCATACATAAGGGGACGAGTGGGGATCCGACGGTTGTGAGCGCGGAGGAAGTGCTGGAGATGGCCACGATTAATGGGGCTAGGGCATTGGGGTTGCAGGATAGTATTGGGAGTTTGGAGGTGGGGAAGAAGGCGGATATTGTGGCGATTGATGCCAGGGGCGTGGAGATGCAGCCGTGGTTTAATCCGGTCAGTGCGGTGGTGTATACGGCTACGGGGAGGGATGTGAGGTTTGTGATGGTGGATGGCAAGGTGGTTGTTAGGGAGGGCGAGTTGGTGACGATGGATGAGGGGGAGGTGGTCAGGGAGGCGGAGAGGAGGAGTAGGGAGGTGGTCGAGAGGGCTGGGTTGGGGGGGAAGGTGGGTGCTAGGTGGCCGGTTTTGTGAGACCTTAATGAATTAGATTTTATTGTGAAGTATAAAGGTTTAGCTAAAGCTTTGGTAACCACAGAGTCTGCGAATTGCACCATCCTGTCAGTCCGTTCAATCCCCACTCGACTCCAAGTCCGCTCTTCTTGTGTCCTCCAAATGGTGCGAAGGGCGCACATTCGAAATGCGAGTTCACCCAGACTGAGCCCGCCTCGAGCTGATCTGCCATGCGTCGTGCGCGTTGCAGGTCGCGACTCCAGACGGATGCTCCTAGGCCGTAGTCTGTGTTGTTGGCGCGTGCCAGCACGTCTGTCTCGTCGGACCATTTTAGGAGAGGCAGGATTGGGGCGAACGGCTCCTCCTGCACCACCCGGGATGTCTCGGGCGGGTTGTCGACGATGGTTGGTGTAATAAAGTAGCCTGTGCGGCCTGGGATGGGATTACTCGAGAAGGTGCTCAGACCGCTGGAATAGATGTTGTTAAGAAGGTCGGTGGCCTTGTCGTACTGCATCTTGTTTTGCAGAGGCCCAAAGAATACGTCCGGCTCGGTTCCCTCGCCCATCTTCAGACTTTGAACATGCTGAACGAGTTTATCGCGGAACTCATCGTAAATCTTTTCATGCACATAGAGGCGCTTGATCATCATGCAGATCTGACTTGAGCACAAAAAGGAGAGGAAAGCAATCTATACGGTTAGCAGAGGTTTTGAAACACGGAAGATGCAACATACCTGAGGAATTATAGCATCAATGTCTACATCTTCGCAGACAATGCAGGGGTCATTCCCGCCCAGTTCCAATGTCACCTTCTTCAACGTCTTCGCACAACTAGCCATGACACGCTGGCCCGTAGCTATCGAGCCCGTGAAACTGATCTTCTGAATACCAGGGTGCTCGGTAATCATCGGTCCCAGATCGTCGCCCCCGCTGAGAGCCTGCACCACGCCGGGTGGAAAACATTGTGTTGCTAGTTCCGCCAACTTCAGATCACAGTATGGCGTGTATGGGGAGGGCTTGACGATGATAGTATTGCCCGTATACACAGCCGGGACAATCTTGCCGATAGCCAGCAGGACGGGAAAGTTCCAGGGCACAATAGCAGCGGCTACACCGATGGGGATATAGCGCTGAATTACCTCCCGGTCGTCTGTGTCATTGACGACTGTCTTGGGAATAATGATGGAGCTGAGCGAACGGGTCCACTGGATGGCCATGTCCAGCTCGGTCGATGCCTGGCTGAGTGATTTGCCCTGCTCGCGGGACAAAAGTCCCACCAATCCTTCCTTATTGGCCGCGATCAGATCAGCAAAGGCATGGATGGCAGTGCGGCGCTCATCATACGAGGTCCGTGACCATTGACGAAACGCTCGGCTGGCAGCGCCCACTGCGCGATCGAGATCTTCTGCCGTTGAGACGGGCACTTCTGGGTTGGGCTGGCAATTGGCTGGGTTAATGCCATGATGGGTTTGCGACGTGGATGTCAATTTGTTGTCGATGACATTGTAAAAGGTCTAGACTGTTAGATCGAATGCAAATGGGAGTTTTGATGATTGATCACCTACAGTGTAATCCAAAGCCATGATGTCAAAAGTTGTGAGTTACTTACAATGATGGGAATGAAAGAAAGCAAGCGAATGGGGCAGGGCATGGCCAGACTATAAGAGCAGCATCGCAATGGGCCTAGAAGGACCTCAAACACATGAAAGGCGACCAAATCCGCTAAATTGAACTCTATACCGGCCGCATTGGGCGAGACTGCTGACATTCCCCGCACCTTGAATCTAATTTAGCCACTACGGTGCGCATGGGGACTGTTTAGCTCCGACAGCGAGTGGATGTCAGATTGATCGTCGGACGCCTGAATTGCCGTCTTTGTCTCACCTTCCAATCACGTTCTCCTGCAGCATGCGGAATTGACAAGCGTCACACAGCTGGAACGTGGAAGAGCAGTGCGATGTGATATTATCTACACGAGTGACACGAGGCACGGACAGCGTCTTTTCCCTCCAGTCGGAGATTTTCCGCCTTCAATTTGAGCTTACCAGCCGGTGTCGCCGGCCTGTTGCCTGAGGCGGCGTTCTCCGGACGCCTGGTAGCCTTAATAGCAAATAGACACATGACAGATGCTCATCTTGATTGATTGATTGGAAGCTTTGCGTGTGGCGAGATAGTCCGCAGGTATCCGGAGTATCTCTCGGCGGGTGTTTTGCGACTTGATTCCCAGCTGACTCGAGCGAAAAGGGCAGACTCCGCGCCAAGCGAATAGTGCTGAAATTATCTGATTATTATCAAACACACTACGTCACAGTAGCATTGCTTATTTTTTATGTTTCTCTTTACCTGGTGAAACGGTCTTCAAGGGCAACTTCCCTGTGCTGACTAATGCCACGGAGCAACGGAGAAACACACCAACCGATGGCATCCCAGCGTCGGTGCCTTCAGCAAGATGGTCAGTGCGACACAATACACCGGTGATCTACTTTTGACCGATACTGTGCAGGTTGGCATGTTCCACAGTGGTTTACTGGTTCGAACACCAACTTGAATCATCTCGCCATGAGAATTTAGGCACTAGTAACTGGGAGAGATATGTCTCGGCATCATGTTAATGCTCCTGAAGCACACCAAGAGATTATAATGTAAAGCCTGTTAGAAAGGATTAGATTACGTCTCTCCCAATAGTTAACATGTCTCGAAAACCTTAGTACTGACCATATGTATATTCGACGGCAGGGATGATAGTATGGATCCAAGTGTCCGATCTCATCTTGATACATTACTAGTAGTAGAGATGAAATGTATAATTCTCAGAAGAACTGGGACAATTTCATGAGGTTTAGTGTAGCAAATGACCAGAATACATGATTTAGAAGAATCTCTATTATAAAGTCCAGCAGACCTAAAGGATATATGTCATTATCATTTAGCTTGTATATACTTGACTAAGTATGTTTGATAGCATATGTAAGAACTTGCTCAATTGCCCAGCATCCAACTACCACTAATTGTCTCGGCAGAAACCCCAAGGTCCTCGAAAGACAGCACAGGAGGATTTCCCAATTCCTCCTACCAATCAAGTACAGTGCATTCCGCACCGCATTTGAGATGTGGATACAGATTGAGCAAATCATAGATAGATGAGATATAGATATGCTTAGCTGCACATGGCATCGATGAGCCATACAATAAAATAAATGGTACCGACATGATGCTGTCCGAAGCGATTGGCGCAATCACCCGAGCCAAGAAGGCCAAGACAGCAGGCGCGTCACACATAAAAAGCAGATGAACATCCAGTATGTGAGAAGAATTGAGCCAGTCACCCCGCCATGGGTAATATTCAAGATGAAAAGCGACAGACAGTCGTTCAGGTCCTTCCGGATGGTGTGAGCGATGAAGCCGAGTTTGCGCAGGAGTTCACTCGAAAGGAACATGCGCTGGGGTTCTGGGAAGCCATGCGACGGCACTGGCCGGCTGTGGCTTGGGCGTCGTTCATGAACCTGGTAGGAGGATCCTATATTTGTTCGGTTGAAAAGCAGCTGTTAACTTGCCATAGGCGACCATTTTGAAAGGCATTGTAGGTCATCCTCCATATGAGGTGATAAGCAGCCCTAACTGGTATAGGATGGCGGTATCGTCAAAGGTCTAGTCGGTCTCGACGTCTTCAAGGAGACATACGGCTACAACTACCATGGTGAATATGTCCTAGCTGCTCAGTGGATCTCCGCCTTCCAATACGCCAATTTACTAGGAGCCATCGTGGGCGCCCTCTGCTCGGGCTTTGCCTACGATCGCTTCGGTCCACGAGTGATGATAGCTGTGTGCTCGTGTTTGTCCATCGCCTTCATATTCGTGCAGTTCTTCAGTCATACGCCAGCCCAGTTGTTTGTGGGCGAGCTCATCAATGGGTGCATCATCGCATTTTACCCCATTTGTGCCTCCGCGTACGTGGGTGAGGTGACTCCGCTGGCACTCCGCGGGTTCGCGGCTACAATGACCAACCTTGCCTTTTCGATCGGGTCGCTCATCGCATCGGGCATCCTAAAAGGCACGGAGTCGCTGAATACCACCATGTCGTACTCAATTCCGATCGCGACGCAGTGGGCACTACCATGCATTATGCTAGCGCTGATCTTCTTCTGTCCTGATCCGCCATACTGGCTGTGTCGGCATGGTCGCAACGAAGCGGCACTAGCATCACTGCGGCGTCTAGCAACTCCAGGTGTAGATGTGTCGCGCCAACTATCCCATATCGAAGAGACACTTCGTCTAGAGGCCAGTTTTCAGGCGGACCGCCCGACATACCGGGAATGTCTGCGTGGGCCAAACCTCCGCCGACTGCTGATCTGCGTGATGGCTTACAACATGCAAGCCTTCACGGGAAATGTCTTCTTCATCAACTACGCCGTGCATTTTATGGAGCTGGCGGGCTTGGACTCGTCAAATGCATTTTCGATGAACATCGGACTGACGGCGCTGGGACTAGTCGGGACATGTCTATCGTGGCTATTACTGCCCTACGTGGGCCGCCGAACGATGTACATCTTCGGATGCTCCGCATTGGCGGTGGTACAGTGCCTGATCGGTGTGCTCGACGTCGTCCCACGAGACAATGCCACGGTATGGGGACAGTGTGGGCTCATGCTGGCTTGCACGTTCGTGTATGATCTCAGTCTCGGCCCTTTCTGCTATGTGCTGCTGGCGGAGGTCTCATCGGCGCGACTGCGGGGACTGACCATCGCGCTGGCCACAGTCAGCTGCTTTGTGTGGTCGGTAGTGTTCGCAGTGGTGATACCGTACGCGATGAACGAAGACGAGGGAAACTGGCGGGGCAAGATGGGATTTCTATTTGCGGGGTTAGGCGCGCTGTGTGCAGGTTACTGCTTCTGGTGGATGCCGGAGACGCAAGGGAAGACGTTTGAGGAGTTGGATGTGCTGTTTGAAAAGGGTGTCCCCAGTCGAAAGTTCAAGAATTGCGTGGTTGAGATGCAGTAAATAGAAGTCAATTCTGTCAATGCCGAAGACCGAATCTATTCCGACAAAAAATTGACAGCTTATGCTGAGTAATGCCGGGGATAATGGAGATAACATCAAATCAACCCCAACATCCTCCACTGCCGAGGTATTTTGATGGTTTTATTCAGTCTCAACATCTTCTATTCATGCTTGATAAGCATCGGTCGCCGAATACTAATCAGTTTCACCGTCCGCATTGAATCCCCCACTTGTCCCCTTATCCCGAGGCCCGTAGCATAACTCGACACTGTAGTCCCCGCCGAGTGGAAACTTTCCGGCTTCCATTCCTGATTCTAAGATCGCTCCGCCAGTATGACATAAGTAACCCTTCACGGAGAAGCGTTTCCGTTAAGTGCAGCCTATCGGAGGGGTACCTTTACACAGTAAGAACTGTATTTCTATAGTGTTTGTTTGAAACAATCTCCCCCTCACTCTTTGAGAAAAAAAAATTTCCTAGCTTGCCGAGCAGTACTCGTCGTTCACATCCTGCCCGGTTGATGCCCCGAACAAGCATATCCCCCGATTGCCTCATCACCGGCACGGTCCACCAGAGCCGTGGTTCAACGGAGCTTTTGCACCAATCTGCCCGTTGTCCCGGGCGAAAACCCACCCACACCAGCCTGTTTCTGGCAAGAGCCTAGGTAACTCAAAAAAAACATTCCTCGTCTCGAGAAGCTTCTGCTTGCTTAGGGGGCAATACAGTAGAATCATCATGGTGCTTTGTAATCGACATTCCACCCGCCATGATCCGCAGGAAATATAAACCCGACGTCAGACCCTTGCTATTCAATTCTTAGCTTTTTCAAACACTCCAAGTGAAATATACACCATAATCACCATGTCCAACCAATCCCTCGTCTTCAAGCAAATCCCCACCGGCTACTTCGTCCCCGGCCAGGACGTCGTCGTCGAGCAGGCCTCGTACGACGCCTCCGCCCCGGCCCCGGAGGGTGGCATCTTCGTGCAATCCCTCTATGCCAGCTTCGATCCCTACATGCGCGGCCGCATGCGCCCCGCCCACATCAAGTCCTACTCCCCCGCTTTCACCCTCAACGCTCCCATCGACAGCAGCATCATCGGCAAGGTCCTCCGCTCCAACACCCCCGCCTACAAGGAGGGCGACCTGATCATCGGCTTCCTCCCCATCCAGCAGTACATCTCCGTCGCCGCTGACCAGCTCGTCCGCGTCCGCGCCCTCGAGAACCCCCTCGGCATCGAGGACCTCCGCGTCTTCATCGGCGCCCTTGGCATGCCCGGTCTGACTGCCTACTCCTCCCTCTACGAGATCGGCAAGCCCAAGAAGGGCGAGACCATCTTCGTCTCCGCCGCCAGTGGTGCTGTCGGCCAGCTGGTCGGCCAGCTCGCTAAGCACGAAGGTCTGAAGGTCATTGGATCCGTTGGATCGGACGAGAAGCTCGACTTCATCATCAAGGAGCTCGGCTTCGACGGTGGTTTCAACTACAAGACCGAGAAGCCGGCTGATGCGCTGGCCCGTCTGGCCCCCGAGGGTCTGGACATCTACTACGAGAATGTTGGTGGTGAGCACCTTGAGGCTGCGCTGAATGCGATGAACGATTTCGGTCGTATCGTCGTGTGCGGTATGATCTCGCAGTACAATGGCGGTGGTTACCCGATCAAGAACATTACCAATGTGTTGACCAAGCGTCTGGATATGCGTGGTTTCATTGTCGGTGATAAAGGTATGGGTGATAAGTATACTAAGGAGCACCAGGAGAAGGTGCAGAAGTGGATTAAGGAGGGTACTTTCAAGACTTTGATTCATGAGACCCAGGGTATTGAGAATGCGCCCGAGGGTTTGTTGGGTATTTTCCATGGAAAGAACTTGGGTAAGGCTGTTCTTAAGTTCTAGATGCAGTTTGCAGCTATGCAGATATGATATAGATATGGTATAGATTTAATGATTATTGAATTAACAAACTATGAGAACTACTTAGTTGTAGTGAATTGTAATCTGGTATAATTAAAGTGCTGACACCACGTGGGATCCACTAGTCACTACTCCGACCCTTGATCCTTGCCAGACTATCCTCATCTGAGTAGTCTATACTAACACCTGTTAATCATCTTTTCACCCTACATCACCACACCATAACACAGACTTCATCCTACCTATCCCTCTCCTCCACACTCCCCCCCTTCTCTCCATCACCATCACCAACACCACCTTCCCTCCCCTCCACATTTTCCACCCTCTCGCCCTCCCCCTCCCTTTGTACCCCCCTCCTCTTCCTCTCGACCATCCACGCCACCAACAACCCCCCCAAATAAATCCCCCCAACCACCCCGGCAACAACCGCATACCCAACGACCGCCCCCACCGGCGCCATCCCCATGTCCCTAGCAACATGAAGCCCAATACCCCCATTAACAACTCCCACCACAATAACCCCCCTCCCAAGCAACCTATGACAAACCCCCCACACCGTCCTGCCGCCCGTCCTCACATACCCAAAATGCTGCAACCAGCCCATAGCCGGCTGAAACAGCACCAGCACCCCGACGACAATAATCCCCAGGATGGGGTGCGCCGTGCGCAACTGCCCCGTCTCATAGGCAAGGTAGATCCCGCATCCGAAGCCCGCGAGGGTCATGAGCATAGTGAATATCTGGAGGGGCATATGCAGTCTAAATTTTGAGACGGGGAGGGAGATAGGCAGGGGCATGAGCAGGGCCGAGAGCGGGTAGAAGAGCACGAAGGAGAGGGACATGAGGGTTGCGTGGGAGATGAGGATATGGGTCATTTTAGTGAGGTTGGGGAGCGGGGAGGAGGAGGTTGTGGATGGGTTGGTGGTGGATTGGGCCGGGATGGAGTCGGTGAGTGGGTTGTAGTTCGCGAAGGGGTTGGTGATGTTGCTGTTACTACTACTATCTGAGGATGTGGTGTTGTTGGGTTGAGGGGGCATACCGGCCTGAGTGAGATCGACTTGGATGCCGCCCATGTCATCGTGGATGGAAATGTCGGCGTCCATGGAGGCGGAGTTGATGGGTACGCCGGCGCGATAGGCCCAGATGAAGGGGAAGTTGGGGTCCTTGGGGTTCATGGTGCCGGTGCCGTCTTGCCAGGTGAGACAGTTGTCGCAGCGGAAGTTGGCTGTCATGGTTGTTCTGGTGTTGTCGGAGGAGGGGGAACTGCTGTTGGTGAGGGCGGCGGTGGTGGAGTTGATGGTGGAGATGCCGGTGCCTGGGAGCATGGTGATTTGGGTGTTGCTTGTGTATTGGGGTTCGAAGTGGCCGAGGCCGGAGCGCGGGGAGAGGGTGATCTTGGTTGACGAGGAGGTGTAGAGGACGAACATGTTCGCGCCGGTCATTTGGGCGCCTTGGCCTAGGCCGACCCATTGGATGGAGGTTGGGGCGGTGATTTGGATGTAGATTGGGCCTGGGGTGGAGAGGGTGGTGGTGTTGGGGATGGTGAGGCTGTAGATGATGTCCGGGTTGGTTGGGGGGGAGAAGGAGATGATGCTTGCGTGGGCTGGTATTCGGCTTGGTTAGTATGGGTAGAGGTGGTGGGTGGTAAATGGGAGAGAGGGGAGATAGTACCTAGCCCTAAGGCTATGGGGAGGAGGTTGAGCCACTTCATGGTGATGCTACTTGGGATAGTGGTGGGAAAAGTATCAGGCCTACTTACCAGACTAGAGTCTGGTGAAGAGGATATATACTGTCCTGGCGGTCAACATGTCTCTAACTGAAGCTACCTGCTAGGGTCATGCATGTAGAGACAGACATGTTCCATTGCAACGACGTTAAAACATTGATAGATACTTGTTTCTGCATTTCCCCCTTGCATCGCCCTTGCAGGGCTTGATTCTCCGCCAAGCTGACGGCTCGAAAGTGGTAGCTGTCATGGCGGAAAACAAGGTTCAATAGACGTGGATCAGCCGATGGCATTGGGGTTGGAATGGTGCTGTTGGAGCAATCGGGACTCGGGAGATTCTAAGCCACTATGTGACATGGAGCTGGAGAGAGCCAACTAAAGAGGGAGGTGAGGGATCAGCGAGGGGGTCCCTTGCAGGTATGGTATGTGAGAAACTTCGGTGATATATCCATGACAGAGTGAGATGGTTTGGTGAGTTTATCTCAACATTATATGAATGGGAAATTAGCAAGCAAGTGAACGTTAATGTGTCAACTACTTGTATAGCGAAGACACCAAACACCCGATAGCACAGTATTAGCCCACCTCTCCCGATCTCAGCACCTCAGCTACTATTCTCCGAATCCAGTATGACTGCTCTATAATACCCCTGCAGACCCAAGAATGCGCCGACGCACGATCCCCGCACCCCAGACTCCCCCTGCACCAGTGAGCAGTAAGTAGTTGGCGATTAGTTGACAATTCCCTACCTACCTAGGAGTTAGTGCTACTCCAACCCCAACTCACTCCATACCAACACCAAGAGATAGACTACTTACTAGTATCGGCATCTACACAGCCGACCACCCGCACCCGCACCCACTCGGCAACCAATCTCGGGTCGGGCGGATAAACGGTCCATTCCATCCATTCCAAACTCACTCCAACATACTAAAGTGCTCCCATCCCCACCCCACCACCCCTCCCCTCCCTCCATCCACATTAACCAACTTATGTTTATCATCCCCAAACCCCGACCCAAACCCTACCTTTTCAAACTGTAAGCCAATTTCTCTCCTTCCCCTATCACCAATTTAACAACATCACCAGTAACCCAATTCCCTCACGAAAAATGCGCCTCCCCTACGCCCCCTCCCCCCCCCCGGACCCCACCGACCTCCCCACCACCGAAATCTACTCCCGCATCGCCGCCCGCCGACACCCCCGCCCCCTCATCCCCCTCGATCTCTCCCTGCTACACTCTCCTCCCGTCGCCGACGGCTGGAACAGCTTTTTGGGCGCGATCCGCACCCAGACCATCATCGACGGCGGATTACTCGAGCTGGCAGTGTGTCGCGTGGCCGTGCTGACGAATGCCATTTACGAATGGAATGCGCATGCGCCGTTGGCGCTGAAGGGGGGCATTAAGGGGGTGGAGTTGGGTGCGGTGCGGACACTGCCCTCTCTCGCCGAGGGGGATGCGAAGGCAGAGGAGGAGTTGAAGGGAAGTCAATTGACGGACGTGCAGAAGGCGGTGGTGCGGTATGTGGATGAGATGACGCGGACGGTGAAAGTGCAGGATGGTACGTTTGAGAAGTTGAAGGAGGTGGGGTTGTCGGATCGGGAGATTGTTGAGTTGACGACGGGCGTGGCGGGGTATAATTGTGTTAGTCGGGTGTTGGTTGCCCTGGATGTCGGGGAGAATAATGCGAAGGAGATGAGGAGTGTGGATGATTTGGTGGCGGATCTTGAGAGGAAGTGATCTATCGTCTATCTAGTATGATATAATGGGTGTATATAGTGGGTTGGTGGAGGGAAAAGGGTATCAAATGCTTGAATTGTATGGGTGGTGGAGGGTAGCTAGCTAAGCCTAGTATATATATCTGAAGTGGATATTCTCGCGGTCTGTCCTGTCCTCGAACGCCCTCGCTAGATGGTCCTCGCCCTCTAGGGATATGCCCATCTCGGCCATTGCCTTGTCCTTCTTCTTGTTCTCCCGGATCAGGTAGAAGCGCAGGAAGATAACCGCCAGTGTCATGGCGGAGTAGCAGCCGAGGTGAACGCCGAAGGCAGTGAAGTACCGCGGGGCGTCGCGGTCGAGGAATACTTGGGGACCTACTTCATTAGTATATGTCTGGAACGATAGGGGGATGAAGGATCATACCGATGGCGTTCCCGACGGCCCATGAGACAAACGTCGCGGCCACAACAGTCGACTTCTTAGTAGCGCCGGCAATGTTTCTCGTCACCATGGACAAGCCCAAGTTCTGCGCGGACCAGAACGACAGCGTGATGTAGTAGCTGATGAGCAGGCCGACTTTGGTGCTGAGGGAGTGGTTCTGCACTGTCATGAGGACGATAGTGCCGACGAAGGACCTGCATCTTGTTAATAAATACACACCTCTGAAACATTATAAGAGAGGGAGGCTCACGGAATAATAAATCCCAGCATCACCAGCAAGTTCTGCTGATATCTCTTGACCAACCAAGCACTCGTCAACAACACAATAATAATGTAAAAGCCCAGCACCATCGCCAACAACTGCGTCTGCAACTCCGTGAAGTTGAACCCACTAATAATGATGTTCGCAAACGCTCCAAGTCCACTCGTCGGCAGCGTGGTAAAGACCTGAATCGCGCAGTAGCAGTACATTTGCGGATCCCGGAACGCTTCCCACATCTGGTACGCGCGGAACTTCTTATTCTGCAGTCCGGTCTGGTTGGCGCGCACACGCTCAACCATCTTGTGCTTGTCCTCTTCGGTAAAGCACTTGGCGCGCATCGGGGAATCGGGCATCCACCAGACCACGAAGAGGCCCCAGAGCACGGAAATACAGCCGTAGGTGAGGAAGAGCGCTTGCCAGGATTTGAGAGCACGGTCGGAGCCGATCAGACTGAAGCAGTAGGCTAGGAGACCACCGACGATTTGTTGGCCGCCATTCATCATGTACCTGTTGCCATGTTAGTGCGTGTAGATGAAAGATGTCGGGCTGGGATTACCAGAAGGTGACAGTAGAGGCTTGTTCTTCCCGCTTATACCACATTCCGGAAAGAACAACAAAGGAAGGCTGACAGGCAGCTTCGAAGATACCAAGCAGAGTACGCACAGTCACTAGACCGGCAAAGTTGTGGCATGCCGAGTGCAGGGCTAGAATCGTGCCCCAGCAGACGATATTGAAGCCGAGGTATTTGGCGATGCGGACGCGTTGGATGATCCAGTTGGTAGGGTATTCGACGATCAGGACGGCGATGTAGATGCAGGTTGTGAGCCAGGAGTACTATCCAGTTAGTGCTTGAACGTATGCAGATATAGGCTCACTAACCTCCTGTCCCACAAGATGAGCATCGTCGCGAATGCCCATAATGGAAGCAAACGACATGGTACCCTTATCCAGCGCCTGCAGAAAATATGTCACGATCATGATGACCAACACACGACGATCAATCATGCGGCGAAGACGCCGACTCTCGGCTTCATCGACCTCGATCTGGCCGCGCGTGGCATACTCCAGCACTTCATTATCGACGCGAGCGGCATCGATTGGGTCCTTGAGTTTGTCGGTGGGCGACAGCACCCGCTCGACATGGGAGACATCTTGAGTCGGCTTGTGATCCTCCACAGCTGTGGAAGCTCCTTTGGAGTCAGGCCCGCCCGCGGGCATCGAGCTAATATTCTCCATAGACATGTTGCTACCAGACCTTTAGTGTTGGAGAGGATCAACTGGGTCAACCCAGCTGGGGGACTGGACACTCTTATATCGGTCATGCGGAAGATAGAGTCTGACTAGGGTACGAGTGGCTGCTCCGTGGCTGCATTTTCACTCCAATTAGAGGCATGATGGGCAGGTCTGATAGTCTGATAGTCTGATGCCAGGGATGCCTGCGGGCTGGGATTCTCCACGCGTACAATCCGGGGGCGGCAGGGTCCGCCCCCGCGCGGGGACAATTGGCCCGAGCCCTTCGCTTAGAAGCAATTCAGAGCCTATCCTTAGTTTAGCATCTTAAACGACCAATCCCTCTATTTGCCGAGCGAGCTTGGCATAATCAAGACGTGGCTGTTCGGCAGAAATTAGCCCGAGGGCATTCCCCGCATTGCTGCTGAAGCTCGACACGAGGGGTGCTTCATCCCACTTATAGACACCAGCATCAGCATACTGCAGCACAACCACTCCATCAGCAATCCTCCTCAGTTCCTCACCTCTCGCCATGGCTTCTACAACTCCTCCCGCTGTCAGGTCCAAAATTGACCTCCTGATCACCAACCTCGTCAACATCCAAGATAAAACCGGTCAATTCCTCCTCCCCCTCGCCGATGGCCGCATCATCGATACCAAGTCCTGGCATGGCTGGGAGTGGACACATGGAATCGGTCTCTATGGTATTTGGAAATACTACGAGATGACCGGCTCCCCACACCTCCTTCAGATTATCGAGGATTGGTTCGCCGCCCGTTTCGCAGAAGGCGGCACCACCAAGAACATCAACACAATGGCTGTCTTCCTCACACTGGCATACGTATACGAGAAGACGCAAAACCCTGTCTACCTGCCCTGGCTGGATGCATGGGCTGAGTGGGCCATGCATGAACTCCCGCGCACCAAGCAGGGTGGAATGCAGCACGCCACATACCTTACGGAAAATTACCAGCAGTTGTGGGATGATACGTTGATGATGACCGTGATGCCTTTGGCGAAGATTGGAAAGTTGCTCAACCGGCCAGAGTATGTTGAGGAGGCCAAGCGTCAGACGTTAGTGCACGTAAAGTACCTGGTGGATACGAGCACCGGGCTGTGGTTTCATGGCTGGACGTTCGAGGACGGTGGGCATAACTTTGCTAGGGCGAGGTGGGCGCGCGGTAATAGTTGGGTGACGATGGTTATCCCAGAGTTTGTTGAGTTGTTGGATTTGAAGGAGGGCGATCCCATTCGCCTGTTCTTGTTGGATACGTTAGAGGCCCAATGCGAGGCATTGATGGGCCTGCAAGAGGAATCGGGCTTTTGGCACACCCTGCTTGACCATCCCGATTCGTACGTCGAGGCCTCCGCCACGGCAGGTTTTGCATATGGTATCCTTAAGGCTGTTAGGAAGAGGTATCTGCCAAAGAAGTATCGGGTAGTTGCAGAGAAGGCCGTTCAGGCAGTGTTGGGCGCCGTTGATGAGACTGGAGAACTGCAGCAGACGAGCTTTGGGACCGGCATGGGAGATTCTTTGGACTTCTATAAGAAGATTCCTTTGACAGCCATGCCATATGGACAGGCCATGGCTATCATGGCGCTGGGCGAGTATCTCCGGGGACACCTATAGAACTGTATTTATTCCCCTTTGAACAGCATATAGAGCAGCATAACCACGTTTCTGATTAAGCCGTCAAAGAAGTAATGTTGTACCGATTCAGCGCTCCAAGTCTGTCTTGGACCCGTAGATCTGATCCCAATCATTCTTAAACAGCAAGATCCACTTCCACAGCTTTGAGTCGGTGACAAAAAGCTACCCCGCTTTCCGGAGACGTTGCTCGTGGGGTTGTGGCGTGTACTGGCAACCCCACCGCGAAACTAGTTTTAGCTTCCTTGCAATGGCCTGCTGGAATATATTACCCCGAAAGTAACCCCGCTCTGCCTTTTGTAATCTTCTGGATTGGCTGGTCCTCCAGACGGATGCCATTGTATAGCTCGATAAAGCTTGAGGACGATCGCTTCTCGGTATAATGAGAACTGGCGTCCTTCTCTTGGCCATAGATATGTCGCCAGATTGCAGCAAAGAGACGGTGGTCATCAGTCGAGTCATAGTTGGGCAACCGTGACAATAGCCAAGCGAACCTGCTCTGTTGTAGGATCTCAAGGGCGACTTTATTAGATTTTGACTGTTCATTACGCGTGTCTTCCGTGATGGCCAATTCAACCCCATTTCGAAAGGCTTGAATAAGGTAGTCGTCCAGCTCGTAGCGTGACTGGGGCAGGGCAGGAGGAGCCAACATCAAGGCTCCTGGCACAGTTGATGAGAACGCCCAGTCGATGATACATGTGATGTTGAAATCATCGTCGACAAAGGTATTATTTGCGCTCAGATCCGCATGGCTTAATGAAAATGAGTGTAACTTAGTGTTTGATAACTGTGCTCGCCATGTTGGGATAAGATCGCGCAGGTCATTTGCAGCCACTATGTAATCAAGTCTGTTGTCAGTAGAGTCCATCTTCTTCCCAACAGTGACAAAGTCATTCCATAGATCACAGGCTTCAAAGTACTGATCATGTGATTCATAGTCTTCGCGATTGGGAATAGGAGCAGCAAAGCAGTGGCGAGAAAGCTGTAACGCTTCTGCATGCTTATTCAATGCAGCTATAGGCTATCGAAGTACTGTACTTCGGAGGTAAATGGTCCCCGTGGCACATCTTCTAGCGAATAGCGGTCATGCAGTACATGGCCAAGGGTGAGACATTCTTCAACTCAAAACAGCCCATCATGCTCGAAGAGTGAGCTTATATGATTGAACCGCAACTGCGATAGATTCTAGTTAAGTCATCTCTCCTAGCTGATACAGCACTTTTGCTTTCAGCGGTGCAGCCAGTTCTGGCTCACCAGACTTTGGTAGCCCTCAGGCCCTTTCTAGAGGACAGCCAGTGGCCTTGCTCATCAAGGTAAATGGTATACCGATCTCATTTTCAGAGTTGGGACTTCCAAAATCAGCATAGCACAGACAGCGTAGGCATATGCCTTACCTGTAAAGGAGCACCGTTGGCACTGAAATGTCGCTGTTCTGTTTCACTTATTTCAAAGTCGCAGCTTCACTTTCACGCAATTTTGAGAAAAGCTCCATTGACATCTCGGCGCCAATTGTATGTGGCGATCGCAGTACCCACTGAACTCCATCCCCGAAAGTAATGAAAACAGCCCAATTGAAGCTGCCGCTCGCGGGATGTTAGTCAAGGTCGCAAATGCAAAAATATTCTGTCGAAGATTGCTTGCAATTTCACAAAGTTCCTGAGCATTGAATCTGGCATACAGGAATATGGCGGGCCTCTTGTCAGATAGCATGATAGTGTCTAAGACATTGTATAGTTCATGCTGATATGTGTACTTGGTAGTTTTGTAAGGCACTGGCATGCCAAGCGGCAGAATTCAAAAGGCGGTCAAAAAACATACAGAATCCAGGGTCACCATTTGGATTCTGGAAAGCCTTAAATCCGCTTATATCCGAGGTTTTTTGATCGAGGTTCACTAGGTTCTGCCGCCTTTGGCGGTCAATGGGGCGGTCACGAGGGACAGTATTTGGAGATAGTCAATGTCTGTGGTTGGTGAGCATGTACTTGGCTTCTTGTTCATTGTATACTACCTTAGAATGTTTCTGCTCATCTCGAATCTTGACACCCATCTAGCACTGTGTAGCACTCTGACCTCATGTTGTCGAATGTAATCTGTATATACTACGACGTGAGTATGCCTAACGTTAAACAGTAGGAGAACGCATAGATGAGCAAAATTCAATATCATTCGACAAGCACAATCCTAGCTACTGTCCCAGCTAACCCTCGACATAAATCTACACTCTTCATCAGAGTACCCATACCCTCAATCACCAACAGGTGCTGTCACACACACACACACACACACACACACACTTTCCATAGTATAATGCCGAAGCAAGTGTCTGCAAGTCCCCACTACTCTCCCACCCTAGTACTTCATACCGTCCGACCTCACATATAGTATAAGTCCATATAATGAAGAGCATACTCCAAGCTCCGAATCTCCCGCATACACCCCCACCCCGACTCCTTAAGCCACCTCATAACCCCAGTCAACCATGGGACACCTGCAGTTCTGCCACCTTGCATGGAGGCATTTCCCCCCGCCGCAGACAATCCCGTCGGCCTAAAGGATCTAGGCATGATATAAGTGTGACGATCTTCCAAACATCTTCGTAGACATGAGACAGGCGTGCGGCACAAAGGACGACTTTGCATAGGATAGAAGATGAGAATGTTCCCCACAGGGAGCAATAAACACACCTGAACAAGCGTCTCTAGATGCTTTAGTCTGAGGACGGACTTTCTCTCGTCGGAGAGTACCCCGAATGTCTTCAGGGGAACGAGGTCGTCCCTGACCGCTATGCTCGGGGTTGGTGGTTGGTCGAGGAGCATTTCTCGCCAGCTGGCTTCGGGGCGAGAGTAGGGTTCCTTCCGTCCTAGCCTTGGATGATCCGTTATTTGTAGGGGCATGAATGGGCGAAGCCAGTTGCTGCTATCTTGTGTGCCGTTGACTGATCTAGGGTTGCTGACGAAGTGCTTCAGGAGCTTGTCCATAAAGGGGTTTGTGGTGCGCTTGGGGGTTTGGTCTTCGGTTGGTGATTGCTTTTCAGGACGGAAGAATAAGGCTCTTTGGAGGGTCGGGGATGTCTTGATCAGTGAATTCCAGAGGTGGCAGACGCGTTGGGAGAGGAGCAGGGTGGTTGCGTCGAGCTCCACGAGGACTTGTTCCAGTACCTCGGGGATAAGGAATATCTTGTGTGGTGATTCCATTATTTTGGTTTTGGTGGTGTAGCTTTTCAGGTGGGGGTTGTATATATAGCAAGTAGAGAAATGTTTATCTGAGAGTAGGTATTGCGTAGATGAGGAACTAGCTGTGGAGACTTTCTTTTGTTGTCGTTATAGTCGTTCCGTTGGAGTGTGGTGTGGTGGACAGGTAGAGACCGAGATATTTGGATTTTCAAAGGAAATGTACGTTCCTAATTACGTAGGGTATAATCGTTCATTCGTGTTGATGAGGTACACGACTGGCCCCGTGAAGACGGGCGGATGATGAAATGATGAGGATCATATAAAGATTCACCAGTCCCGCCTTCAGAACATCACCATTCGTATACACCGAGTCTCGGCTCCGGATATAGAGAACAGGAAGTTGTGATTGACATAGGCCCTCATAAGGTATCAATGTAGAGAGCCAGTGATTGACCATAGTCACATTCCAGACGAGTTCTTTCTCATGTCTTGTAAATCACCTACAATCGAGCCTCCGAAATATCAAGTCCATATTCCTCTGCCAGCGCATCTCCGCATGTCAAACCAGTCACATACGCGGTCGCCTGCGTGTGATTGTTGGTCAAAACAGGCACCACACCCATGTCAGCGATTCGCAGATTCTCGACACCAAATACCCGGAATCGGCTGTCCACGACCGCATCGACATCCCCGGTTTTACCCATCTTGGTCGTCCCAGTCATGTGCCAACTGGACCCGAGGGTGTTCTTCCAGAACTCTAGGATATCCTCATCCGACTCGGACGGAGGAGCAATCAATGCGGACACTGTGTCCTTCTGGAAAGATTCATGCTTCGTTACCTCTAGCGCATGGCGGTAGATCTCAATACATGCGCGCCTGTCAAACGGGTGTGACAGGAACTTCGGGTCAAACAACAGAGGGTCTTCAGGGTTGGCTGACTGCAGGCGTACTTCGCCACTGGATTGCTCGTTCATCAAAAACACGAGCATACAGACGTAGCTGTAATCTTTAAAGGGCTCGGGAGCGATGAGATGCAGTGGGAAGTGTGTCATGAACTCATAATGTGGCACCGTGTCGCGTTGTAGGAAATCCTGCACAGTCGGAGGTAGTGCTTTGAATTCCTCAGATGCGACCAATCGATCCGATTTGAGCCAGCCGGCGCCAATCTGACACGAGTGACGTGCCCATGGTCCAGTGCCATCTTTGCTCCATTGCTCTAGAGCAGACTCCATGGCGGCCGGGTTGCCGAAGAAGGCGTCGCGATCGTTCGTTGTCGGGTTCCGTTGGAAGCACAACGGTGCAAAGAAGTGGTCACGAAGACCTTGACCTACCGCAGGCATGTCCTTGGCAACGGGGATACCGAATTGTTGTAGTTGGTCCGCTGGTCCAAGTCCCGAATGCATCAGAATCTTGGGCGTGTCCAGTGATCCGGTTGTTAAGATCACTTCCTTAGATGCGAAGTCTGTAGCGACGAGTCTGGTCAGTTGGACCATTCAGTCAAAGGATAATTCTAATGCATACATCTTGCCCCCTTGGTTTCCACACCAACGGCCTTGGTGCCTTGGAGTACGAGCTTGAGCGCTGGTGTCTCCGTTATGATAGTCAGATTAGATGGTGCCCCATCCAAAAGATCAGTTGCCGTCACCCTTCGGCCCTGGTGAGATGAATTGATGACCAAAGCCATTCCAATTGGGTCTCCCGAGTTGTGGTCAGGGTTGCGAGTCAGGCCAGCCTGCTCGAACACATCCATCATGAGAGGAAGATCCTGCTCCCATTCAGCCGCATAGCCCACCTTCAGACTCCCCTGGGAGCCGTGGTCCGAGGTCTTTGGGGTCGCATATTTGCTGTTCTTTGGGTCCACAATGGCACCGTTGAATGTCTCCAACTGCCTGAATCGAGCCTGCATGCGCTCCCAGAGAAACAAGTCATCACCAACAAGCCCAGCCCATTGGTTATAGTCGTCTCGCGCACCCACGGTGTAGACACCGAAGTTGATGGCGCTGCTGCCACCCAGCACCTTGCCCCGAGAATAGTCGATCTGTCGACCATTACAGTGCTCTTGCGGGGTGGTCTTGTAGCCCCAATTCAGATCCCCATTCATAAAGGTTTGCCATCGCTGGCCGTCCACACGCAGCGATGGATCATCCTTACGAGGGCCGGCTTCAAGCAGGAGGACCTGAGGGCGTCGCGCTGACCGAGCGAGCCTTGAAGCAAGGGCACAACCCGCCGGGCCACCTATAACAATGTTAGGTGCAAAGGTCCTGATCAACGAAAAGACTTGCATACTGACCACCCACAACGATGAATTCCCACGTCTGATCAGTCGAGGCCATTGTATAGTCAAGATATTACCCTGTCAGCAGCTGTAATACAGCGATAAGAACAATGTCTCGCAAGACAAAAGGATCACAAGTCAGAAGAGCAGATGCCCCAAATAAAGGCAACTGACAGAAGCTTGGCGGGTGGGACTCCTATTGTGTCTAGTCTTGAGATCGACAGTAAGATACGAATGACAACCCCGCAACGTTTGCGCCATATCCATTCCCGGCCAACCTAAAAGACGGAATCAGAGACGGTTGACACCGTTGTGTTGTGAGCTGCCGTGTCTTGGGTCGAGTCTGCCGTGCGGACACATCATGGGCTATTCCAGGCCCACAACGTCAAGACTAAGTGAGTTGGACGTCTCTAGGCAAACTGTTGAGGTCCACTCAATGCCGTTCAGTGTGATGATCTATTTGAGTTTCGCGGCGCGAGACCGACTGTTCTTCCCACCGAGACCTTCCCTCCTCGGGGGCGTTTCCGCAGTGGAATTAACGGATTGTCTCAAGGAGTTAACAGCATGCATAAGCTTGACAGGGATCATCTTCCTAGCCGCCTTGCTGAATGCTCCTTTGCCCACCACTTATCGTCGAGCGGTTTGCCATTGGTGGAAATGAACACGAGCGAAGAGGGGAGAAGACATAGCATTCCAGTCCAGACCTCTGTCAGCTGGCTCGACGAGAATTGTCGGGTATGCGACCGGGGGGACGAGATCAGATACTGCTCAGCGGAGTTCATGAAGAGCTGCAGAAACGCGACGTCGAGAAAACTTGCATAATGCAATGCAGTTTGCTGCAGAAGCTTATCAGCTCCGGCCTCGCTTTTATGTTTGTTTTTCTTCTTTGTTCCTCCTTTCCTACTGAACAAACAAATGGACTCTCGCGTTATTCCCTCCCCAAGCCTCAACCTTCTGGTATTCCAGGTCCGAACTTAGCGCCCGAGCAGCAGAGTTGATCGGCACGGCGATGAGGGCAACAAATGGGGGCCTCTTAGACTCTGGATCGATGTAAAAGTTCCGTTCGGGGATGGGAATCCCGAAATTCCTGTGGAGAGGGCTCAGCGAAGAGCTCGTCCAGCGCGACTAGCGCGGCCACTTCACCAGTCTCCGTACTCCGTGAGTTGCGCGACAGCGCCGATCGGGACGTAACCCAAGTGGGGAGCGTTTGTCGGTGATCAGAAAAGGCGTACAGTAGCTCGGACAGAGTAGCACTAACGGTAGTACTTCGGAGTCCGGAGAAAATCAGTGATGGCGGATGGTTGCAAAGTTGGGCTGTGGACGAGAGTGGAGTTGTGAATATGGGAGTTGGAGAGCTGAGAAAGAGAGCCCTCCAACTAGCGTGCCTGAGGCCACACACTACATTAGATATTAAGTATCCTGCTACGCTGATTTACTACAGTTCATCAATGATAAATTGTCAATAGCATTGAGAATATCAAAATAGGCCTGAAGAGGATCGATGGTCTCGTTATGCACTAGTATATCCGCTTATCCTTAAATCTAAATATAGACCAGCAAGTGCAAGCAAGCATCATAAGGGGCACCTACTAACAGGCACCAAATATAGGACCTCGTCCGCTGTTCTGCCGCTTATCTGCCTGGTATATTTGTACTACTTCCTCTTCCTATAGTTAGTGGTCGACTGTTCTTAGTAAGAAAGATGTTCTAGTAAGGGTCCTTTGAGGCCCGCCCTGAGTGCATCCGGTCCCCAAAGTCGTACACGTTAGCGACGCATGGTACACCGCGCATAGCTTGGTGTCACAGCCTAAGACAAGCTCCGCATATATGTAACTGGGGTATTCTTGTAGTCGTCAAAATGGTGGTCGAGCACATATGACGAGAGGCTGCCATGGACATCTACAGTTAGTGGTAGCAACACAGGAAGGACCTTCCGACCCAGAGAGTCCGTTCCCCGATATGCTCGATGCTTCGGAGGCAGCTTCCCATCCATGTCACTGTCAGCGAGTTAGGTGCATCAACCATAACGATTGGCAATGTTGATAAATCTGGCATTGCTGATGCTCCGGGTATCGTCTCTTGTGGGAGCCACTTCCGAATGTCGGTGTCAACCTAGTGACGTATGCTGGCCTTCCAGGGATGATTGGAAACACCTAAACGAATCTATCAGTGGTCATTTGGTTCGCGTCTACCCCATAGGTCACGTATGCCATGCGCCCTTCTTCAACGAAGCCTCCTGCAATCAGCTCGTTCACTTGCAGTATGATTCTAACTGGCGCGCAGAGCAACCAGGTAGGATGCCAGTCATGAGAAATGTCTCGGGTCTGTTGTCGCTGACATGCATGAAAACTCTACAGGAGCTTTGCAAAGTTTCAACTGGGAGAATTGGCCCGGGAAAAACGAAAGTTGTACCATTGAGGCAAACTCGAGCTCCGTGTGCGGGCAAGGGCGCATACCTTTATACTCTGCAGTAGTCCACTCGGTCGATGAAATCCGCACTGTGGTCAGGTTTGCCAAGCGGAGAAATATTCGGTTGGTTATCAAGAACACGGGTCATGACTCAACTGGTCGATCGGGTGCTCCCAATTCTCTTCAAATCCTCACGAATCGCATGAAAGATATAACCTTCCCCGACGACTTCGTCCCTCCCCAAGGGGGTTTGGGAATAAATAACGTCAACGCCATTGGAGTGCCTGCCGTCAGTATCGGGGCAGGAGTCATGGTAGGTGAGCTTTATGCCGCCGCTGCTGCTCGAGGGCTTATCGTGGTAGCAGGAGAATGCTCCACGGTCGGCGTTGCTGGAGGGTATCTTCAGGGTGGTGGGGTGTCAACAGTCCTTAGTCCAATGTATGGACTAGCGGTAGACCATGTTCTGGAACTAGAAGTTGTGACGGCACAGGTACGTGCAACTTGCCATCGATTCTCACGGCGCTAATCGAATCAGGGCGACATAGTCACTGCAAACGAGAGCCAACACGAGGATCTGTTTTGGGCCCTCCGGGGAGGTGGAGGAGGCACTTATGGAATTGTCACCAAAGTCACGATGCGAACATTCCGAGATATCCCATCAGTTATCCCGACCATCCATTTCACCTATCCACAAGCAAATGATATCTTCTGGCAAACAATAACGCAGATTGTGCGACTAACGCAATCCCTGTCGGTCAACGGAAATTCGGGACAGTACATAGTAGGTCGTCTGCCGAGTTACCATTGGTACGTGAACTGGACAATGTTCGTCTGGGACGACAACAATTCAGAGTTGCTTGAAGAACAGGTTCGGCTCTTTCTGAGGTTTCTTGACTGGTTTGGTATCGAGTATCAATATGAGTTGGCCGAATACTCCAAAATCAGCGCCTTTCTCACTATTCCCAAGCAGGCAGATATTGGCGGGATCGGATACCTGCAAAGCAGCGTAGTGATATCCGAGTCTTTCATGGATAGCATCGCCGGCACTTCAAGACTGACAGCGTCCTTTTCGAAGCTGGTGTTGGATCCTGGCGCACTGATTACGGTCAATGTGCTGGGAGGGCAGATTAACCTCAACGCCAAGGACGGGGACACGCCTGTCAATCCGATGTGGCGGTCATCTGCCCTCCTTGTAGTTCTGATGCAATCATTCCCGCCCACACCTGAAGCACAATCAGCCGCACATCAAACGCTATCCCGGGTCAATACACCTATTCTCGCCTCTATCGATCCTGAGGGAGGTGGTGTCTACTTCAACGAGGCAGATCCCGAACAGAGGGACTTTCAGAATGCTTTCTGGGGTCGCCATTATGGCCGATTGCGTCAAATCAAGAGCCAATGGGATCCGGAAGGCCTGTTCATGGTGCGGAACGGGGTTGGCAGCGAGGACTGGGATACTGAGAGTATGTGCAGGAAGGAGACTATGGCACCGGTCTAGGCAATCAAAGTATGTAGGAGGATTTCATGCCATCGTAGGCTGGCGCTCTCATCCGAAGCCAAGTATATAATTAGGAGAATCAGTGGCTTCGGGTCCACAACAATGGGATCGATGGAATGTGGAACTTTAGCACATGGCATGAATAGTTTGTTATGGCACTGACCAGCAGTGGTTCCCGGCTGAAGAACAAATTATGCAGATCCTTGCTTATTCCGTGTAGATGGAGGGAGGTGTATACGAGAAGATGCTAGATCCATCAAAGTTTAAAGGTTTTCAAGGGGTGTTTGCTATTTGGTTCGTTTTACTGAACCAGGAATCTGGGGTAAAGCACTAAAGCCACGAAAGGTTGTACCTCGGAGAAGGCCATGTCTAAATTGGGTATCTTTCGGACGAGATGGCGAAGCACAAATATAGAAAGTGTAGGAGACGAGAGGGGGAGGGGGGAAAAGGGAGTAGGAATTGACAGTTCCAGGGAAGTTAGACGAGGGAGAGCAGACGAACCATGTGACTCCTCTCCCTTCCCAAATACCGGACCACCAGCCACAGTCTTGGCTGGGCTCGGCTATTGGGAGACCCGACGAACCAGCCGGGGAACCAGAGCAGCGGGTATTCGGTACGCTGAAGTATGCGCCCAGGCTTACTATGGAGTAGGTCTGGTACCTGCTGGGAGACCCTTAACACCGCCCGGACCCCCCCGCGGAGTTAGGGTCAGCCGGACGAGAGGCCCAAGCCTGCAGAGTTGCCAGAGGCGCCGCCGCTGTAATGCCAGGTTCCCCCGAAATTCAGGCAGGCAGGCGGGTTCAACCCCGGACTCTTCCCAAGTCCGTCCCAGAACTCTACTAGTTCTGTCTCTTCCAACCCCCCCCCCCCCCAAACTCCTCCATCATCCAATAATCTAGTCCCTTCTTTTTCTTCGCTTCTTTCCTCTTCTCTCCGCTCGCTCCGTCGCTTTTCTTTCGCCTCCCCGCTCCTTTCCATCTTCTACCCTCTTCTTTCTCGATCTCTCAATCTCTTGAAATTAACAACCACCCCTCACCTCCGGGTGTTAACGGCTTTACTGTCTTTCTTTCTTTGCATGTTTCTTTCACTGTTCGTTCGGGCTCTCCTTCAGCGATACAATTAAAATAGACCTCCAGTGGCGCCGCTCCAAAACCTTCCGATCCTTTCCCCTGTCGCCCTTGAAGACCTCCTTCCCCCTTCATCTTGCGACGAACGGTACAAACAACCACCTTAAATCGCCACCAGAGTCTTTTCCTCCCACTAGCGTCCTGCCTTCAACTCGGTATTGAAACTGGGCGCTTGCGTGCGTTTCATGGCTATCTGGTAAACCGGACGCTGCGCCTCACTTGACGAAGGCTAATCTGGACCTAAGAGGCTCCAGAGACCCCTTGCGATCGGCTGGGCAGTTATTCGACTGGGAAGATAAGGATGCAAAGAAAGACGTGGTTTGGTTTCACAAGTGCTTCTGGCCCGTCGCATCTCTTGCTCGTCGGGACGCATAGACCGATTTGTTGGACTTTGACATCGATTTGACATGGCGCTACATTCTAAACTCGTCGCAATCGGAATCTATAACCGGCCTACTGCCTTCGTCCTTTGACCTCCATACCTAGGAGGGTGGTGTACATCTACTATATCAGCCTGACCCTTTGGTCGAGGTTACGGAACCCCGAACATGTGGGATTCTCTCTCCAAACCGCCCGAGGGCCTCATTGGAGGTTACCAGGGTGGTAGCATGGCCATCAAGATTTTGATGGCAGTCTTCTGTGCAATTGCTCTGTATAATGCTGTCGAACTCGTCATCCTCATCTTCCTCACCTTCACTCGCTACAGCGGTCTCTATTTCTGGGCCATGTTGCTCTCCGCCGTGCTTGGCGTCATCCCCCAAGCAATCGGCTTTTTGCTGGAATTCTTCGCCATCGGGCCTCTCTGGTTTGCAGTCACCTTCTCTACATTAGGCTTTTACTTCATGGTCCCAGGCCAGTCCATTGTCCTCTACTCTCGACTCCATTTGGTCGTACAGAGCCAAACGCTGCTGCGGCGGGTGCTGTACCTTATCATCTTCGATACGATCGTCCTATTGATTCCTACCACCGTTCTCACTTATTGTACGATTTATGTCGGCACCACGCCCGTTATTCGAGGGTTCAATGTGATGGAGCGCATGCAGCTTGCTTGGTTTTGCGCACAGGAAATTCTCATCTCGATCATCTACATCGCCGAGACTCTGAAGCTGCTACGTTTGCGGCCCGAAAAGGACGCTGAACGGCATAAGACCATGTATGAGCTGATAGCCATCAACCTGGTGATTATTCTCTTGGATGTCGCGCTCCTGGTTCTAGAGTATGTGGGACTATACACACTCCAGACCACCTTGAAGGCTGCAGTGTACAGTGTGAAGCTGAAGCTGGAATTTGGCGTCCTGAGGAAACTGGTTTCGCTGGTCAATACCCGCCCGGCGGAGTCGAGCTCCTCGGATCAGGAGACCTACCCAACATTTGTTGATCCCAACCAAATCACGGGAGATGTGACACGTGCTGCCCCCGCCTACAGTCGACGGCAGTCGCGGTACCCATGGACGGCCATCTCTATGGACAGTCTGGTCCTATCCGATCGCCGAAGTCAGCATGTCACCTCGTCGGAAATAGAGCGGCCTTCCTAACATTCGAATTGTCTCTGTGCTGCAAATCTCTGCTGCATGTATATACGATCTCAAGCCGTGATATATCTCACACCAGGGCTACACCGATACTGCAATCGGGTTTCAGTCTTCCGAGAAAGACTTTCACCCTGTTAAAGGGCTCGCCACCAAGCAGGTTTCCCGCGCATTGTACAGCCAAATGCCCGGAATTTGGGAAATGTGGCTGCAGTGATGGCTGAGTTGCCCACACGGCTGCCCGGACCGGAGTCTTGTCACTCTGAGCCATGTATACGTCATGACCATTATTTCTGTATATACTATATCTGTATATAATCTGTACCATGCTATGATAGACGATCACTCTTCTGTACGTAAACGGACGTAGGGGGGTGACTGGGCGGGTCAAATCTTCCAAAGATGGTAAATAGTAGATCGTTAACATGTCGCCATAGAGCCTGTCCACCGGGCCCTGAACAAGATCGGCCGAGACAGAAATCGTATGGTGGGTCGGAACTAGACCGACGTCCCGGAAGTCCGGAACTATCATCACCCGCAGCACTGGCCAGCAACCGGGCGATTCGAATTAGATAGCTCGGACCCGTGCATGAGATAGGTGCGGTACATCGGCAAGCTAGTGGCTATGGGCGTGGACCAGTCCCAGCCAGATGGAGTCAGAGAGGAGCCCTTAATGAGGTATCATATAGTCTAGTCCCGGGAGCCGTCATGAGAAGCGGAGTCCAGTGGCTGGCCAGGGTCGTCTTCTGCGTAATAGATAACTCTTAATGTTCATTAGACAGCAGACCGTATCCTGCTTCCTGGGAGTTTCTTCTGCGGCCTGACGGTCAATCTGCGAATCATGGAAGGCTCACAGACCGAAGGAGAGATAGATAGCCCAAGCCGACAGGGCCGATCATTGAATCGGACTGATAGGTAGGCAGTCTCCACTTGGCAGCTGCGACGGGGTCAACCTTACATGCAGCCAGATATTATCTAGGAAAGAAAGACTTTCGAAGGAAGAATCGTACCTGATTCCTGGGAGACGGAAGCGATGGTACGTGGCGCTGCCACTGCCAGTGCCACTAAAGTTTCCGATCAGGATGAATTCATTGTTATTGAAAGGTTGCTTAAAGCTACCCAATTATTAGGACTTGAGGCAGGGATGTACGAATATGACTAACTACCCTGTAACCCACGGGAGGATAGCGATGATGTCATTACTCGGTCAATGTCAGTCTCTGGAACGAGAGAGTTCGCGGGTGGTTGTCTAAACGTTCATGTCACTCTAAGTTATTATCCGGGTCGATATGTTTGGGAGGTGTGGTGGGTGAACCCTGGCCCCAATACTGTCTGCCTGACAGATGCCACACTTTCATACTTTCATCACTACTACCACTACTTACGTACCCTAGGCAGATATTTACTGTGAACATGAACGTGACTGACTAACCATCCAGGTACTGTACTAACTCGATGAGGAAATGGAGAGATAGAAAACTGGCCAAAAATGCCAGGATAACCCTCATGGTACGTATGTGTGGAGTGGACATGTGGGCTAGCCTGGAAACGGCAGTCGTCACGGGATGTGCAGGGCTGTGATTGGCAGGAACACTACCCGATCGTGGTGAATCGCGGGCTGGAATTCATCTTTTTTCCCAGTCGGGCGGAAGGCCCTGTGGAGGGGTCTCCCGTGCTGCTGATTGGCCTCTGCCAACTTCTGGCCACCAACGGCTGGCCGCTAACCCCAAAGAAGGCATCCGGGCCATCTGGGGAACGAAAGACAGTCCAGTCCGTCTCCATGAAACTGATTCTTTTTCCTCCCCCTCTGACTTGCTCCGTCTTGCTTGTTTCTTCGCTGGAACCCTCGCTAAGGGGCGTTTGGATTCCCGAAATACCTTACCCTCTCGGTCGGTAACCGGTCTCCATTTGACTGTTCGGGCTGTGCGACGAACTATATCACTTTCGCCTCTGTGACCATTCATTATTCTATATAGTGGTAATATATTGCTCCTCACTATCAGCCCGCCTGCCACCACACCCCTCCCCCCCGGTCTCGACCTTCCCCTCTTCACCTACTACTGTTAGTATGTGTTTGGCTCTTACCCTCCCCCATCTGGATGAGTAGTGGTTACAGTATTAGCTACATTGTTTCAGCTTGCCAAGTCACCGCTAACCCTTCATCAGTATACTCCAGACTCCTCCCCATATCCTCCGAATTTGTCCTACCCCGCGTCACCTTGTGCGTCGAGTATCCCATTGCGGCCCCGTTCCCCCATATCGAGCAGTTTCACCCCGCTGGCTGCCCTGGACAACCGACCGTGATTATTCCCCGCGGTGGACTGGGAGGACAGCATTCTACTCCGGTTGAACCACTTGCTTCGCATCGCCCAGGCCACCCCATAGTCACAACTCGCCAATGTCACATTAAGCTTACGTGGAGAGCACACAATTTTCTACCGGGCCACTGCTCTTCCCCCCTAGTCCGAAAATGGATTCGAACAACCCCCCCGCCTCGACAGGTCGGGGCACGGATCTCGACCCTCATGCCCCCGAAGTACCGCCGACACACGACAAAGAGACTACTGTTCCAGATCAAGGCCACAATACCTCCATGGACGGTACGACTGTAGGCGGCACGGACCGGGTATACCCTATTCGGTCAATTATCTCTTTTAATCCCGTTTCTACAGACACTACCCAGCAAAGCATACCAAATGAAATCCGTTCTCCGCGAAGTGGTGCTCGCTCTTATTCAATTATCGACGCCGATACTTGGGACCAATTGAGTTCACAACCTACTAGTTCGCCACATACCAATCCGTCTCCCAACGCGCCTGTCCATAGTCCTGAATCCACCGGTCGGCTCTCACAGCAGTCTCTTGATGCTTTCTCGCCGGCCTCGAGCGCTGCCGAGCGAGACGTTCCGCCGGACGAAAGCTCCACGTACAGGAAAGTGGCGCCGGCAGAGGGCCATGCGAGTCTTGTTACTTCGCGGTTCCAGCACGTGGTCACGGCGGCCGGTCATGCTGTTATAACAGGCAATACACCTGATTCTTTTCGGGCCTGTGAAGACGAACCGATCCACATCCCGGGCGCCGTGCAGACCTTTGGCGTCATGCTTGTTTTGCGCGAAACGCCTGAGGGTTCTCTAGCGGTCCATGTAGCTAGTGAGAATTCTGAGGCTATTCTGGGTCACTCGCCAAGCAACCTTTTCGCGCTGGAGAGTTTCTCTGACCTCCTGCAAGACGATCAGACCGACATTCTCCTCGATCACATCGATTTCATTAGAGACGATGCATATGACCCCGTTAGTGATGGCCCAGAGGTATTCATCCTTGCTGTCAAGGATCGATTTGGCCGGCCTCGACGCTTTTGGTGTGCCATTCATGTAAACCCCGCTCACAGGGATGTGCTCATATGTGAGTTCGAATTGGAGGACGACCGCATTAACCCTCTCAACGTTGCTGGACGCACAACACCTACATCCCCGACAGATACCTTGGGCTTTGAGCCAACGCCTGATCAGTTAGCAAGCAGCACTGTGAACATTAGCCAGCCGCTACGAGTGCTTCGGAATGCACGCAGACGGAGGGGTGAGGCAGCTGCCATGGAGGTGTTCAGTATTGTTAGCCAGATTCAGGATCAGCTTGGCGATGCCCAGAACATGGACGCTTTGCTCAACATCACAATTGGCATAGTTAAAGAGTTGACGGGATTTCACCGCGTGATGATATATCAATTTGATAGCGAGGCCAATGGAGATGTGGTCGCAGAACTAGTCGACACGAGAATGACCAAGGACTTGTATAAGGGATTACATTTCCCGTCGTCGGATATTCCGAAGCAAGCCCGCGACTTGTATCGCCTCAACAAAGTACGCATACTCTACGACCGTGAGCAGATGAGCTCACGGTTGGTCTGTCGAGGCATCAAGGATCTCAAGACACCTCTGGACATGACGCATGCCTACTTGCGTGCAATGTCGCCTATCCACATCAAGTACTTAGCGAACATGGGGGTCCGTGCATCCATGTCGATCAGCATAAACAACACGCATGATCTATGGGGTCTGATCTCCTGCCACTCCTATGGGGACGCCGGCATGAGAGTACCTTTCCCGATTCGGAAAATGTGTCGGTTGATCGGTGACACACTCTCTCGGAACATTGAGCGTCTCTCTTACGCATCACGTCTCCAGGCACGCAAGCTCCTCAACACCATTCCTACGGATGCAAACCCCTCGGGTTATATAATTGCCTCATCGGATGACTTGCTGAAGCTTTTTGATGCGGACTACGGCGCATTGTCTATCAGAGGGGAGACCAAGATCCTCGGAAAGTCAACCGAGTCACAGGAGATGTTGGCTCTGCTAGAGTTTCTCAAGATCCGCCAGCTCAATTCCGTCGTTGCGTCGCATCATGTGAAGAAGGACTTTCCAGACTTGAGTTACCCGCCGGGCTTCAAGGAGATCTCGGGCATGTTGTACGTGCCTCTGTCAGCCGATGGGAAGGACTTTATCGTCTTCTTTCGCAAAGGCGAGCTGACGACGATCAAATGGGGTGGCAATCCTTATACGAAACTCCTACAAAATGGTCACCTCGAGCCTCGCGCGAGTTTCCAGGTCTGGACTGAGACTGTCATGGACCGGGCTCGTGAATGGAGCGAATCGGAAGTAGAGACTGCAGCCGTTTTATGCCTGGTCTATGGCAAATTCATCAAAGTATGGAGACAACAGGAGGCTGCGCTGGAAGGCTCGCAGTTGACGAAGCTGCTTCTGGCTAATTCAGCCCACGAAGTCCGAACCCCGCTGAATGCCATTGTCAATTATCTAGAGATTGCTCTCGAAGGTGCTTTGGACACGGAGACTCGCGACAATCTTACCAAATCATACTCCGCCTCCAAATCATTGATCTACGTCATCAACGACCTGTTGGACCTGACCAACACCGAAAAGGGACACAATTTGATCAAAGATGAACCCTTCGATCTGCCGTTATGTTTCAAGGAAGCGACCAGCATGTTTTCCGCCGAGGCGAACCGGAAAGGCATTGACTATACTGTCCACGCCCATCCCGGCCTTCCAAAGACCGTTATGGGCGATGAACGGCGTGTTCGGCAAGCAATTTCGAATCTGATCTCAAATGCTATCCAGCATACAACTACGGGTGGCGTCACCGTCGAAATGTGGCGAGCCCCTGGCAATCCAGAGCCAGGGTTTGCAACCATACACATGACAGTGCTTGATACGGGGATCGGAATGTCGTCCGCTATGCTGGAGACAATGTTCCAGGAACTGGAGCAGGTCTCCTCAGAGGACGACAGCTACTTTTTCGACCGAGATCCCAACAATCATTCGCAGCATACTGAGACTGAACGCCAGAAAGGCGTCCTCGGTTTGGGGCTCGCTTTGGTGTCTCGCATTGTACGGAATACCCACGGTCAGCTTACAGTGCGGTCGGAGGAGGGCAAGGGTAGCCGTTTCCAGATTTCGCTACAATTTGCTACTCCAGAGGACACGGATTCTAACCATCCCGAAACACCACAGCCGTCAACGCAGGACGATGGCGCCATCCCTTTTGAGGCCAAGGAAGAGTTTATCTTGGTCGACAGCAGCTCGTCTGCACCAAGTGATGGATGGCGACGCAGTGGTAGCTATCGCGGCGCCAACAGCCCGTCTGCAGACGAGCTGGACGCCAAACTGGTAGCAGAGGAATCTATTGATCGTACGAAAGACGAAGCTGCTGGTCTGCTTCCCTCTTCGGATCGCCGGAAGCTCGTTACGCTGCCTTCAACCCCTGAAAGATTGGATGACGTCACACGTGCTTTGCAGAAAAACGTGCAAAATCTGACCATATCCGACAAACCGGCAAACACTAGCGCAGGCCCTGCAGGTCCCGCTCCAACGAGTGCTCCTGCAGGCTCGGACGCTCAAGCCCCGTCTGGCAAGTACCGCGTTCTCGTGGCCGAAGACGACCCTATCAATGGCAAGATTGTACAGAAGAGGCTCGGAAAGCTAGGCCACACCGTTCAACTGACAGTAAACGGTGAAGAATGCGCAGCTGCATACCGAGCCGATTCCGCGCAATATGATGTTGTCTTGATGGATATCCAGGTAGGCCTTTCCCAGGTTATTGTCAATATAGATAGGCTAATGCGAGATAGATGCCGATCGTGGATGGTATCAACTCGACCAAAATGATTCGCGAGTTCGAAACCTCGTCCGATTCGACTGCACTCTCATCAGTCGCAAAACTTAACAACCGAATCCCCATATTTGCAGTTTCCGCCTCTCTATTAGAGAAGGACATGTCCTTATATGTTGATGCAGGCTTCGATGGCTGGGTCATGAAGCCCATCAACTTCAACCGACTTAACGTTCTTTTTGAAGGCCTCCAAACGGGGGATACAAGAAACGCTGCCACGTATCATCCAGGCTGCGACTGGGAACAAGGCGGCTGGTTCACGCCTATTCCCGAGAAGCAGTAGTACCACCAATTTGCCTCTCTCATCATTACTACCCTCTCCGATCTCAAAATAGCGTATATCCACACGGAGATTATGCTGTACATTTCTTGTCATGCATTTGAGCGCATGATTATCTACATCTACTTTACAACAGCACACAAAAGTCACGACCGCGACATGACGAAAGAAAATGAATGATCGGTATTCTACGTCTGTTCGACCTGATTGGAGCCTCGTCTTATTCTACATTTCTTTGTCCATGTATACCCCATTAGTTGATTTGTCTAGGCTCATATCTTTGTGTTTTGAACTCATGGGATCTGAGTCCTTCATCTATCATGGCTTGGTTGGGTGGTCGGTTTATGCATTATGTTATGTTTAATGGTCTATGAGCACACGTACAGCCATATAGCAAGTTCGGATATCTATTCAGCTTTTACCATCTTTTCCACTCTTCGTTCTACCCTTGAAAGCTTTAGCGAGAATTTGCTGGTGTCTATCCCTTTTGTATACTATATCACGTGTGATATCATGACAAATGATCAACAGCTACGCGTGTTATAACTCACCTCAGTGGAAAGCATTAGTATGTAGATGTAGAATGTATGCGAGAACCACTTCAACGTTTCACACAAGATCCTCATAAATCACAATATATCTAATCACAACCCAGGATATAATATAATCACAAACAACACCCCATACCAATATCTCAGAAACATTATACAAAGTCATCCCCCTCAACAATCCCACCCAATTATACAACCGACGTCCGCCGACTAATACCAACACCAGCACCAACACCACCCTCTAAATCCACCACCTCCTGCACCAAATGCTCCGCTGAATGAGCCACCGGCGGCTCCGTCACAGACACCACCGCATCAACAGACCCAACCCTGCTCCTATACCACCACTCCTTTTCCCTGCCCCAAGCACCCCCAGGACTTCCTTCCCCTTCACTACCATAACCACCATCCTTACCCTCCCCAATCCCAATACTACTCCCCACTCCCCCAGACATCATCGCAGCAGAACCCCTCTGCATAATAAGCGGCTGTGTACTCCCCCTCCTCGACTGACTCCCACACCCAGTAACTGAATATATACTACTATTCTGCTGTTGATAGTAGTAATGAAGAGAAGTACTCTTCTTCCCAATAATAAACCCCACAAGCCTCCCCACCGCGACACCCTCAACCAGCACCTTCGTACTAACCACGAAGGGGAAGAAAGCCATTGCTGCGGCGGTGTGAACCACATATACGGCCACGATGTTGGCTATGTTCAGGATGAGCGAGATGCTGCCGGCCATTAGGAGGGTGTAGAGGAGTTGTGTCCCGTTTCCATTTCCATGTCCGTTTCTATATCCGGTATTGGGTTGGGATCGGTAGTACTTGTAGTGGTAGTGTATAACAGGCCGAAGATACCTCACCACACCCCAGGCATAACACCCGAGGAGAAGTATCTCCCTCCCGCAGTAAGCCGTCACCGAGATGCGCTCGAGGATAGTAACTGCGTGCGACCAGCGACCATTCTTGTAGAGTGTGGCTGCCGCGGGGGCGACGATGACGTGGGGGAGTTGGAAGAGGAGGATGGAGGCGACTATGCCGTAGAGGAGGAATCGTTGGGCCTTTAGTTGGAAGTAGGCGGAGGGTTTTTGGTGGATTGTTATTAGGGGGAGGGAGAAGTAGAGGAGGAGGGTGTTGGATATGCTGGAGGAGGTGGTGGTCAGGACGAGGAGGATGGCGGAGGTTATTCGGACGGCGGGGTTGTTGGGGGGGAGGTTGAAGAGGAGGAGGGTGGTGAAGATGGTGGAGAGGAGGGTTGTTGTTGTTGTTGTTGTTGTTGTTGTTGTTGTTGTTGTTGTTGTTGTTGTTGTTGTTGTTGTTGTTGTTGTTAGGATAGTGGTTGTGGTTGTGGTTGAGATTGGTGCTTTTAGGGGGTTGTTGGGGGTGAGGGTGAAGAAGGAGAGGTCGAAGATGAGGTAGTATAGGAGGAGGCAGGTGAAGGCGGAGATGGAGAGGAGGGATATGGAGGTGTAGATGTCGGGTTGGGAGAGGGTGGAGGCGGATGGTTCTGTTGTTGTGGTGGTGGTATTCATGGTGGTGGATTGGTCATTGTTTGGTTTGAAGATGGTTTGGGTGCCATGAGTTACGATGTGGTGGTGATGGTGGGAGGTGGTTTATATGGTATAGGGTTGATGTGAGGGCTATGCTATGGGTATGAGTATAACAAAGACTCGACTTGAATGTGTGTAGCTCAACTGCTGAAGTTGAAGTCCTATATCCGAACGAGATGTGGATGTAGGAGAAAACATTTCCGGGGCTGCATAGACCTAACCCTCAATCAACCGCAGATAAAGTTCTGATATGTTCATCATTGAATCCTTGGTTGAGAGCGGCACCTGCAAGGGTCTGGAGCCATCCGGTGCGGAGCTGCAACGCTACGAACAAAGCAAGGATTCTCGAGGCCCACGGGAGATTGTCGTGTTGGTTTGTAGTGACGAATTTGGGGACAGCTGAGAGCAGTTCAATCACTTGATGAGCAGTTGGTCGCGTGGTGGGATATTCTGGTCTGGGAATGTAAACCGATGTAGTTATCATCTATGTAATTATGGAGTGAGGCAGGGTGTTTGTTTGATGCTGACTGTTGGCCGACGACTAATTTGATACTATTCTCTCCGCGGAATCATGATGGTATCTATAGAGGTGTTTGATGCATTGAGGATGACCTTTGCGACGGAGCCTGGGATACGCACAGACAATTGTAGAGGCAGGTTCACCCTCGGTTGAGCAACGGAGGAGATGTCCGGGGATTCGGATCCGGAGCCAGACAGGCAAGCTATGGCCCTCGGATAGGTTTGGCCGCTAGATAAGGTTTTATTGTGGGCCGGCTGTCATTTGTCAAGAACAACTCTAATATATTCTGCTATTGACTGGTGCTTGGCAACAGATGGTGTGGGATCTACTGCATTGTGATGATCTCTACGGGGACAGTTATGAGAACTACATGTCATGGCATGGCAGAAGATTCACTTCATTGTTTGTATATCGACATGAGTAACCCGAAATCCTTCATTATCTCCCCCTTATACGCAACCTCATTGACACCTTCTGATCAATATGACCCAAAGTCTAACCCCCCTCACCATATATCCTAAGCGGCATGCCACTATAACGATAGCGTCTAGACAGTGCACTTGACAGTGGCAGCACTCAGGTCCACCGGCTGCGCAGCACTCGGGTTTCCGTCCAGATCCACATAGGTGCTCCGGGAGTTCAGGGTGGCCAGGACCGATCCGTAGTTCGTGATCACGCAGTTGGTGTTCGCCTGGAAATTGGTCAATTGCGCCGACGACGCCTTGACCACACCACCGGAGCCGACTCCGGTGTTGCCGTACAGAGCCGAGATGCTCTGCACACTGCCGTCGGCGGGGACGGCGGCACTGCCTTGTGCACCAGTCTGGTCGTTGGCCAGGGCGATGGTCACAGCGGGGATAATAGGGCCCGCAGAGACGGAGGTGGCCAGGAGGGCAATGAGGACGGCACTGATCGACTTCATCTTGAGGTAAGGAGGCGGTGTTTGATTGAAGGTGGAGTTAGATGATTTATTGATGATGATGGTCAAGAGACAAGTTGGAATGGAATGCTGTTGTGTTGCTGGATAGTCCTGGAATGTCGAGGGAGAAGGTCTGCTTTATACCTTTTCCTTTCGCTCCTTGTACTGAGCCATATATACTATATTTTGTCGAGGTTGTCATGCGGCCTCTGGCTCTTCGTATCTGTCTCACTTCCTGCCGGGCCGTAGACACCCTGCCACGGCTTCAGGCGTACCATGACATTAGTTGACGTCGATTGGATTCACGACCTCTCGCCTACAGCCGAGTGTAGACTAATTGAACCGACGTCATGAGACAGGGATCTCTGAATGTACTTTCCGGCGCCGCCGAGAGTCGAATAGAAGGCATCTCAATGGTTGATTGCTAAATCGGGACCGATATTTATGACATCTCATGGTGGGCACGTGAGGGTGAGATGCAGGTCTCAAACCTTCAGCATCGAGTCGATGCGACGGCGAGTCGGAGATCTTTCACTCTCCAATCGTAGGAACGGTACGGTGGAGAGCTCGTGTTGTTGCGTGAATACGAGAAGTCCATGTCGACGGGGATTGCAGGCCGCACTCGATGCCGGTGATGGTCCCTACATAGTGGCATGTTTTAATGCGACTCAATACCGTGCTCATAATGTATGATGCTCATAATGTTCATTGGAAATGACAGATCGAATGATTTGCCAGACCAGTGAAGTCGAATAATTAGGGAAGGCGGAGTTCAGGAATACGAGCTGGTGCCGTAAGGCAATGCCAAATAAAGACGACGGGAAGGACGATATACTTTCCCCAATGTAACATCCCTGCGACATCGCCCACTTCCCCGGACATCCCAGCAATTCATACAATGAGGATCGACGCCGATCCCAAATATGCATCATCTTGGATCTTCAGTTCGGATGATTCTGAGGCATCAGTGCTACCTGGACGTAGAACTGAGTTGCAAGAGTGAACGAACCCCAGGAGCGAGATGACCCTTGCAAGATACGAAAGTGTCTACCAAGCCCCAATTCACTGCGACATTCCTGGACGACTATAATGACGTTGGACCTAGAGCGATGACAGACTTCTGCTTGTGGGGAGAATCCGCTCAGGCGGGTCTGTCGGACGATTTGGGCGCGCTTACGGGCATTGGAGGCTTGGCAGGTCGACATATAGCCAAGAATAAGGCCCAAAAGATGAAGGCTGAGAAGGTGCACTGGCAGCAGCCCTGCGGCAGCGTGCGAGCCACCTGGGGCTGTGTCATATGCGAGCCCTTGAGCTAGACGATGTGTTTATGCAGAAAGCCGTATCCGACGTAACCTTCCTTGGATGAATAGATGACTGCGGCTTCGACAGCGGGACGATCATGACTGTGGTCATTACCAGACTGGGTAGAAGCTACAAGGGCTACCATAACACTTCATGATAACCGGGCTTATGATACCGACGAGAAGTGAAGGGGTTCGAGGTTACGCGAGGCCTGTTAGGATACCTACCAGTATGTCGGCAATGCACTAGAAGGTATCTAGAGATCTCCCGACCAGAGAGTGGCGAGCATGACGGAATGTTGGCAGACAGGGAGACCTCCGAAGACCCTTGCTTGGATGCACCGCAGGTGCAATCCACACGCAATGGTGCGGAACAGAAACGGGGCAATCCCGTCACAAAGTGCCTAGCTCCAAAGTCGTTTTGCAGGAAAGACCATAAGGCTTGCAAAAAGGTTTGCGGAAATACTAGGCCGTATTCTCGTCACGAGACCAAGACCTTTATAGATAGCTGCCTCCAGTCTGGCTTCGAACGGAGTCATTACTGTGTCCGCAAGACGTTGGGAATTCTCTACTCAGGTGTAATGTGGAGCAGAACCAACTGAGTTCTGAAACAAGCAATGAGACCTGCGAGTCACGCGGGCAGCGTGACTGGATGATAACGCGGAAGCTGCTGAAGTCTCTAGATTGATATGAAAACTATTGCGCGCACTCTAAAAGTGGCCGGGTATATATTATTCACCGAGGTCGGCCTGGATTAATACTGGAATTGATGTTGTCCAGTTCGATGCGGAGACTGACGGCGAGAGAGAGATCATTGTGTCAGAGCCTTATTTGGCAATCTAACGGGATCATGCTTAAGATTATGAGGTTGAAAACATGTCCTCAAGAGAAAGGAACACAGTAGTGAAGTTGAAGCAGCGGGGTATAGTAGTAGCGGTGAGTGGAAGAGACGGGGAGTGGAAGAAAAGAGGGTGGAAAAGAGAAGGAAGATAGAAAGTATGAAAGACGTTGGTCTGTGCGCGGGAGCTGCTGACGTTGACGTCGATGGAGCGAGTCTCACTTTCTGCCTGCATCCACTCGCTCTTCCTCTTCACGCCTTCTTCTCCGCCTCTCTTTTCCTTTCCTTCCCTCTCTTTCTCTTCTCTCCATTCCACCCTGGTCCTTCTTTCAGCTTCTTATTGTTCAGTTACCATGTCCTTCTCCTAGTGCGACCTGTATTATTCGATTAGATTACTCCCCAACACACTCCCTAGACAGATAGCCCGTCATGGTGTCCCTGTGGCCCTTCAGGGTAAGTCCAGTTCCCATCCACCGCCAGTCTCCAATCCACCAACTCACCATTTCCTCATGTTTAGGCCGAGGACACCTCTCCAGCATCCTTTGAAAAAGCTCTTGCTGCCCTCTCCACCAAGATCACCCGAGCCACCACTCGCCTCGACCTCCACCGCCAACATGCCCGCCGCTTCAAAGCTCTCTGGACCCTCTACACCACCTTCGCCTACCTCCTCTACTCCATCATCATTGCTCTAGTCCTCGGATGGCAGAATTGGGGAATCACAGAATACGGCGCGATTATCGGTGGCCCAATCCTGTACGTCCACGATGCCCCCTGATCTACTCCCTCACTGCGACCTGCCACCCCACCCCACCCCTATTGCGGAGCGTCACACCTGCATCACTGCTCCTAACCACAATTCTCCTACAGGATCTACCTCATCCGTACCATCTCCACCCGCTACTATGACTACCGCATCTCCAAAACCCAGGCCTACCTCGACGATCTCCACAAACAGCGCGAGAAAACCATCGAGGACCTGAAGACCGCCACGCGCTGGAACTCCACCCAACAGCTGCTGGAAAAGTACGGCGGAGAATCGCCCAAACCCGCGCGCTCGAACTCGGTCAAGTCTGGCGATGCGAAGCGCAACAAGTCCGAGGGAGCGAAGCGCAGGCAACCATCTCAGCAGCAGCAGCAAGTCCAGCGCACGGGTATCCCCCCGCCCCCGACAGCGAATATCCGACGACCAGCACCGCAGCAATTCCCTCCTTCCCCTCAACCGCCTGCCACCCCGCCAGTCGCATTCCAGCACCACCAGCAGTCTCCGCAGAATTTCCCAGGCCAGCAACAACCACAGCAGCAGAGGTCGCCAAGCATGAACGTGGGCCTCGAAGAGCCCGGATTCGCTCCGAACGCATTCTCCAGTACGCCTCCACAGTATGTGGAACAGTCCCACTGGTACGACCGCCTGCTGGACGTATTGCTAGGCGAAGATGAAACCCAGCCCAAGAACCGGCTCGCGTTGATCTGCTCCACCTGTCGAATTGTCAACGGTCAGGCGCCCCCGGGTATCAAGACACTTGAAGAACTAGGCCGTTGGCGTTGCGGGAGTTGTGGCGCATGGAACGGCGAGGAAAGCGAGGCGAAGAAGGTCCTGGCGGGCATCCGCAAGGAACAGCAGCAGTCGTCCACTATCTCCAGTGGCAGTGTTGATGGCACAGAGACCCGCTCGTCCGTGGGAGGAGATGTAACGGATGACGGCGTCATGGTGGCTGCTACGGGTAGCGAGGATGATCAGCTCGAGTCGCACAGTGAGGGAGCTGAGACGTCGGAGGAACAGGCAGAGGAATCTGCGGAGAGTGAGAATGAGGTAGAGGAAGAGCCCGAACCACAACCCAGTAAGAGGGTAACGCGATCTCGGGCGAAGGGTGGAAGAAGGAAGGGTTGATGATATGCCGCTGAAGGCTGTTCTGTAATGTAGTTAGTTTATTCGTGTGGCATTATTACCAATACCAGGTCATATCATCCAGACTATATTCAAAGTATAGCCAGTCAGTGGTGTGTATGTCATTCTCATATCCAAAAGATCGCTCAACTACAAACATCACCCTTAAACCTAACTCCAAATAACCCAACATCCCCATTTATCAATCTACTTCATCACAAACTACATCCCCTCCCCACAAGAATCTCCACAGCCCTCTCCGCCGCCGTAATCTCCGCCTCCTCACTAGTCATACACCCCTCCACAAGAACAGCTACTCCCTCCACGCCCGCCATCGTCACCGTACACCGATACGTCGCCCCATCATCCTCCCCACCAGCAGTACCAGCAGTACCACCCCCATTCACCACCCTCACAACCTCGAACTTAATCTCCCCCTTAGCCATCTGCTGCGCAATATTCCTCGGATGCATGACATCGACCTCATCCTTCAAAATCCTCCTCAAATACCACAACAGCCCCAAGCGTTCCAGGAACTTCTCACACTCGGCCAGATTTCCATGCGAATCGATGAATATAGCGCCCAGGATACTCTCGATGATATCGGAGAAGAATTTATCCGCGTTGAGCTGGGAGAGGTATTTCCAGGGGTATGACGGGGAGTGTTGAAGGCCGTGGATGATATCCTTGCGGAGCGCGGTGTGGCGGGCTATGGCTGCGTCTCGGGCTGTTTGGAGATGGGCGCCCTGGTAGCGCATGAAGCGCCAGAGTTCGAGTTTGTGGTCTGTAGAGGAGGGGTTGAGGGAGGCGGTTCCCGAGGGGGTGATTTGTACGGTGGAGCGTTTTTCAGTGAGGGCGAATCCCATGCAGAAGAAGGCGAGGAGGTTGGCGTTCACGACGGCGTGTTTTATCTTGGTCATTTGGCCCTGCGGGATTTCGTGCGGGTGGGAGAGGAGAGTCGACATGATGGCCATGTCGAGGACGGCGTCGCCGAGGAATTCGAGCCGTTGGTAGGATTGGGTGGTGGTGTCGAATTGGCAGGATGGGTGGGTGAGGGATTCGACGAGGAGGAATTTGTGAGTGAAGGTGTAGCCGATGTGCTTCATTAGGTGGTCGTCGTTTAGGGTGTGGTTGGTGGTGCCTTCTGGGGTTGAGGGGGCGGTGGTGATGGTGCGGTCGATGTGCTCGAGGTTCACTTCGGGGAGGAAGCGATGGATGCAGGCGTGGGCGGCGGCGAAGCCGCCGTCGATGTAGGAGGCTCCGATTAGGGCTTCGACTACGTCGGCGAGGACTTTGGTGGATATTGTTCGTTGTTTTGGGGTGAGGCTGATCTTTTCGGATATGAGGGGGGCGCTCCATTTCCGGGGAGTGAACGTCTTGTTCATGATGAAGGCGTCGAGGCCGGTGTCGAGGGCCGCTCTTGCGAGACGGGAGTTTTGGACGATCTCGTCTCGTCCTTCGGAGAGGTAGCCTTCGTGCCAGTTGGGGTGCTGGAAGAAGAGCTGGCATGAGACGGTGAATTTCAGGACTGAGTCGCCGAAGAACTCGTATCGCTGGTAGTTGGTGAGTGATTGCGCGCTGGGCGCGGTGATGGCCGTGATGACATGACGAATGCTGGAGAATTCAAGATCGCGGAGAATGGTCTCGCATAGTCTAGTCGCAACCAATGTGGCTTCTAGTCTATCCAGTATAACTGATATGAAGCGGCCGAAGATGGTTTCGGCGTAGGGAAGTCTGTCTATGGTGCAATTGTCCGCAAGAATAAGACGGATCTTTGAGGAGATATCAGGGGTTTCAGTATCAGGCTGCTTAGCAGCTAATGTTTGCCGGTGCAAAAGATTTCGTCGCTTTGGGAACGCGTCGCATTCGAGCTCGACTATGGGTGTGTCATCTTGGCCAGACACAACCCACCGTTTGAATACCATAGGCTCATTGTAGCGTAAGCGGTCCCGCACAATGCCCATAATCGTAGGAAAGTCCTTGCGAGAGTAGACATCTAGAGCAGGCTCGTCTCCGACGTGCTTCTTGAGCCATTCTGCCAACTCAAGGTCGGGAAGGTCGGGCCCAAACAGAGTCACAAAGTCTTGTTCGGGTCTCGGTTGTCTAGAGCTTGCAGCTTGGAGGTATAGTGCTGTTGCCAGTCTCATATTTTCAATGCTGTCGGCGGCGATCTCTTTCATTCGCTTCGGTTTGTCAAACGCTAACGTATAGGTTGTGTCGCTGTCCCAGAATAAGGTCATCGGTTCAACCGGCGGTAGACTCGTTGGGCTGGTCAACCTGATATACATGTGAGAGTTCCCGTTGTGCTTGATAGCAATTTGCGTTTGGTGGACATCAGGGGATGACCAGGAACAAGCCCAGTCGACCCATGGATCGTACTGTTCCGATACTTCCACAAGGGCCGGCAAGTTAGTATGATCGGTCTCTTTGAGCTCTAAATTCCTCTTGAACGGAAGTAGATGATCGCTCAGAAGACCAAACTCGTAGAGACGTTTATAGGCTTGAAAGGCTGCTTCTTTCCGGGCTGCTCGCTCGGTCTGCCACCATCGCTGGCCCTGAGTACGGCGGACTCCGGGATGGACGCAGGACGGCAATGTGACAGTTCCTCTTAGTAGATCTGCATCATCCTTCTCGAATGAAAATTCAGGCTCATTACTCGCATACGGCTGACGCGGCAGGACTGCGCAGAAATGGTTGAGGTGTGCAACGGCGGTGTCTGCCGTCAAGACAGCACTAGAACGAGATATCAGCCTCTGTACACAATTTGCAGATGCTGCGCGGGGCCGTACCCAGTAGATGGCACCTCAAACCTTTCCACCACTTCTTCGTTGATAGCCTCCAGGGCCCAAGCCTCGCGCAGTCGCCTTTCGTCATCCTCGTACGCTTCAATCATGGCCTGTTCCAAGTCCTCCCACTTGCTCAGTGCAGAAGATTCATCATCTGTAGAGAACATGATTGCATAAGTGGATTGCCTGTGCCGCGCACGACCTCGTCTCTGTACGAACGACTTTAAGTTCGGTGGCTTATCATAGCAGACTACCACGCTGCAAGCGCTGATATCAATGCCCTCCTCCAGCACGTCCGTCGCAATAATCAAGTTCTTCTGACCGTTCCGGAACTCGCTCAGTGTATCGCGCTGCATACGGGCGTCAAGGAGCTCACCCAGAACGTCTTTGCTACCTCCGCCGGACCAGCCGACGAAGGAGGCGCATCGAAAACGATGCTTCGTCACAGGATGAATAGACAGTAGTTTTTCCATTACACTCACTGTAACCCTCTGCTTAGCAAATATTAGACCAGAGAAGTTGGGCTCTCCCTTTGTATCCAAGAACTCCAGCAGGGATCGGAACTTGGGTGAAATAGGTATTCTATCCGGGTCGGAAGGATTGAGATCGATATTCGGTGTAGGTAGCTTCGAGACGATATCTAATAGATATGCCTTCTCCTCGTCGGTCCAGCCCATGCTATCCACCGAATTATCGACTCTCGCTTTGAGCTGCTCGACAGAAGCATATATGAAGTAGTCGGCAGCCCATTCACCAAGCTCTTCGAAAATGTGTAAGCTTCTAGTCGCAAATCTTTTCAGCTGATCGTTACAGTAAGTCTTCCCGGACTCTAGGACCTTTTGCAACGCCCTTCCGTCAAGAGGGCTCTTTCTCAACTTCTTGATGTATGGATCATCCTCGAGCCTCATAGATGTCCAGGCGTTCACAAGAGCTTTCAAAGTCCTGCTTCCAGCCTGCAGGTCATCGAGCAGCACCGGGGTAAACAAGATCTGCTGCAAATATGGCCGATGGGTATGCGTCATAAGCTCTGACCGATGAGTTCGTGGTGTTTTGCACACGGCATCAAGATTTGACTCAATCTTCCTGATCTGGTCAGCCCTATCCTGCCCTACACGCCAACCCCACACTCACAGTAGCTCCTGTTTATTCGATCGCACCACCGGACTAGCCGTAAGTCCGAGAATCTTGGGCACAGCTTCCGCGCCATGCCTTTCCAGCGCAGGGTGATAAAAGTCCTGCATGATCTTATTTGCAGGGTGGCGTCGATTGCAATGATGGGCTGCCAATAAAACACACGGCATAAGCAATTCTCATCTCACAAACACACGTATACCCACACACACACACACAGCCCCCTACATCATAACCTCCGGATTTAAAGCATCGCATTACTATACCTTCATCGAAAATCAACAGACCCAGCTGGGTGATCTTGACGAACCCATGGCTCATCGCATCGGCAAGAACCGCATGCGTGGACACCACCACCTGCATCTCCTTCAGGATCGCATCCCAAATAGGCTGCTCGGTCCAGAGCTCGACCTTGTCCAGACTGGTGAGGGTCCGGGCCCGGACGGCAGGGATATTGTCGGAGATGAATTTGAATTGTTGCAGACATAGGGCGACAGTGGGTGTTAAGAACCAGATTAACTGGGGCAAGGAATATAAGTCAATGGCTTATGAGCCAAGAATAACTTCACATCCTTCTTCTTCTATTTTATTTATTTTCTCACCTTGTGCGGATTACTCTCCAGCTCCTTTATGATTCGCAGCAAAGCGCTGCAGTGAAACCGTCAACTTCAAATAAAGTTCCACTGTGGAGAAATAAACATACATGTGAGTTTTCCCACTGCCAGTTCCCATCTGCAGTATATTAGCCTGAACCTTCCACAGAGAGAGAGAGTAAACCTTGCATACCGTGACAATGATATTCTCCTTCAAACTTGCCTCAAACATCTCCACCTGGTAGCTGCGCGGGCGGTATGCGGGCGCATCTTCGCCGGCGGCAAGTAAAGACGCAGCAGCAGTCATTCTGCTGTCATCGGGGTATCACTGGAAAAGACAAAACTGAGCAAGAACAACGATAGTGACAGATACTGGTGAAGGGGGCCACAGCAGGAAAGTAAAATGATAAAGAGAGAAAGAAGAAAGAGACGCCGAGAATATCAAAACAAATAACTTAACTCAATGAACTAACATTTGGTTCCAGGAGGCATCAGAGTGGAGGGGAGAGAGACTCGACTAAAGTAGGAGTGGGGTAAACAAACTGGTCAAACTTGGTTGGTTTGGCTGGCCTGGCGGGGTTGGCCTTATGCAGCTACTAGTAACACTTATTAATAGATTCATTCGCTAATCACAGTGGCATTTATTCTGGGGTTGGGTTTGGAGATAACGCTCCCACTGTGGATTGGTTCGTGGTTTTATTTGGGAAGCCGAAACTTGGTTGGACACTGGTTGGTTTGTTGTTGGATCGGGCTGCTAGAATCGAGAGTCGAATCATGGATGGACAATCTACAGAATCATAAAAGTACAGTAGTACTTACTCCACCCATGTTCGGAATAGATTGATATTCGGTTCTGTCTTTGAACTGTCACATAACGAGGATAAGGAGGGCAGCATGTCCAGAGCAGACACAGATGGATTACTATGAGCAAATCGAGCAGTCTGTTTTCCTGAAACCCTCTGGTAGGAGAGGGCCCTCTCTAACAAACATCGTATGCAAGTGTTGAAACGGGGAAATACCGGAAGCCTCCTGTGCCCACTGCCAATGCATCGGGCAATCGGCAAACGGGATAGAAGCACCCAACTGCATTCACAACTATGGGTGCATTTCTTCTGTCCCAGGCGACTCCTGTGACTGATGACGCTGTGGATGAACATCAAATATGAAAAGCACAAAACACCGCTCCTTCCGGGGCCAGAATGGATACCTAGTTACATCACGCCATACACCAGAAGATACGACAACGGTAGGAATATCGAAACAGAAAAGCAATCAGCTGATGATATATCTCGGGCGTTCGCAATCAACAGAATACAGGAATGGCGACAACAATCAAGGGTAATATCGAGTTCGAACATATCTGGATCACTCATGATACCACGGGCAACCCGTGACCAGGCTCCGTTTTCGTGGCGTCAGACCCATCGGGCTGTCCGTCGTCATTGCGCGGGCGACGAGCCTGGAAGTTGTTTCCCAGGAAGTTTGCCTCCTCATTGGGGTGCTTGCGCATTCCCAGGCCAGCAACCGCGATGCGATTCAGCGAGTTCATGTCTTCGTTCGAGGCAGCACCGGGGTTGGGGACCTGCATTTGCTGCGGTGCACCACCAGGACCTGGCGCGGAACCGGTGGCCGCCGGAGCGCCCGGCGGGGGAACAGAGATGTCATTGCGTGGCTGGTTCAGGTCGATGTTGCCGGGCAGTTCGGGAACCTCGCCCTGAGAGTCCAACAAGCGCGATTGCAGGTTGATGATATATTCACGGAGCTGGTAGTTCTCGGCTTGCAGCTGCTTCATGGTCTCGTTTGTGTTATCAAACTCCTTCACCTGCTCCTCCAGCTTGCGAATATAGCTCTCCTTGCGCTGACGGAAAGCTCTCTGGTTTTGGTCAGTCCAAGTCCTTAATCCCAGGCATTGGGTTCACTATACCTGTGCGGCCCGGTTCTGGGCAGCGCGCTTGGAAGTCGACAGCGGTCGCTTGCCATATGTCTTGGGGGATTCCTGGCCCGTAGGCTCTGGCTGAGGAGGAGTTTGAGGGGGGCCACTAAGCATGGCAGCGCCGGAGATGGCAGGGTCGATGTTGTTCTGGTCTCGAGGGCTAGTGGTGTTGGGTTGCATGTGCGGAGGCTGCGCGGTCGGACCTTGCGGACGTGCCTGCTGTGGGTGCGACAGATGTTGGTGAGCAGCCAGGAGCTGGTCATGCAGCACTGGAGATCAGACACGCGAGTCAGCATTTAATATACACACATACGAGGCCAGGGAAGTGGAATGAGGCAGTAAGAAGCCCGCAAACGCGATGACGCGATGACTGCTGGGGCGATTTTTCTCCGGCTTGTCTCTTTTTTTTTTCTCCCCTATTCCTTCGCGATGAGAAGCTGGTCTCACTTACCCTGATCCGCATGGTCCTATCAAGAAACCCTACAGTTAGCATCTATATACTCCATGATTCATGTATATCCGGTTGACGCGACCGGTGAGCGATTCAGGGCCCCCGTGTCGCGAAAACATGGGCGTGATCCGGCATCGCTCGTCCGACAGACAGGGCGACGGCAGTCGCGAACACGACCAGAAAGCTCAAGCTCCCGGCTCGGGACATGAGCTGTGTGAATCTGGGGAAACGGGGGAAAGACCAAGATGGGACAGACGCGATCTGATGACAAACCGCGACAAGCATAGGCTGCTTACCTGAGCAGACGTTTGCATACTTGGATGCGGCGCTGGGGCTAGTGTGGGCTGCATCGAGGCAGTAGATCAAAAGACAACGGAGACGCGCCGGAAAAAAGACACGACAGGATCAATTCACGGAGAGGAGAAGGGCGGACGACGAGCTCGGCCAGTATATTCACACGTTTTCTTTGGGAGTTTCGAGGGGGGAGGCGAGGATGTAGAGGAACGATGTAGGATAAACGGGGAAGGACGATGAGGTAAGCAGAGAACGAGAGAGAGAGCGAGCCAGTTCGGAGATAGCTCGTTTTCGCTAGTAGGCAGGGGGAATTGTTTAGGTAAAGGCTGCTCACGCGGGAGGTGCCTTGACTGACTAACTAAGCTGGATTGCAGTTTGACTGCTGACTATTATTGGTGATAACCGGGGGGGTGGGAAAGTGGGTGTGGGCAGATTAGTAGTAATTATGAGAGGCAGTGATCTCGTAAGCAGCGAGTTGTGACGGGAAGTGCTGGGAAGAGCTGACCACGAGAGGGGGGGAGAGGGGGGCGAGAGAGGGAAAGGGAAGATTAGTTAAAGGATCAGTCAGAAAATAAGTGACGTGTGGGAAAAATGGAGGAGAGCGAGTGGCTGGCGCCGAGGGAAAAGGGCCCTTTCCCCGGTGAACTTCACTGGTACTACCACCGTAGTACTACTACTACTAGTACTAGTCAGTCAACTTACTTGCCTTGCTTCCTCAGGTGTCCAAGCCTGCATTTCAAGGAGACTCACGTCTTTGTTTACTGGCTTCTCTCAACATATATTATCTCTTCATTCGCTCGTTACTTCCTCCTAACTTAACTCTGAATATTACACAAATATCCCCTCAACAATCCGAACTTCTTTGTTTCTCCGTTTCTACTGTGTTCTACCTGACCCACGGCTGATGACTGATCCGGCATGCGCTGACTCATCGCTTTCCACAACAACACTAACTTAGTCACCTAAATAGTAGTTTGCCGGCAGTTCACGGAATCTCCCACTACACAGTAAACACCAAGATAAATACAATCTGAGTAATAACAAATATCCTACAAATAAAACAAAAATTCTCAACAAGTCCCCACCCACGGGAGCTACACACACACGCACAACACCGGGACATAAAATGATCTTCAACCACTTACCACGTACATCCCTCCGCCGGCATCCGGGCGGTGTCACTAGGAATGTCGGATCCATCGGGGTCAAGAATGCCGATGCCTGAACTGAACTGCAGTGCAGTGGCCAGTGGGGAAGGTGAAGGTCTTCTGACTCAGCTGAGAATTGGCTGGACCGTAGGACGTAATGTCATTGGGTGAGCCATGGCCAAGTCCAGGCTCGAGTCCCAGCGACCATTTTCTGCCCATACCACCAAAAGGCGGTCAATATTTATACAGATTTCAGATGAGTGTTTGGGGATCTGTATACTCTAAAATCCGACAAAATCCGAGGCTTTTTCATCGAGGTCGATTAGGTTCTGCCGCTTTGGGCGGTGGGAGGGGCGGTCTAGGCTGGTTTTGCCGTTGCATGCCTGGCTGCCTCTGTTGGACTAAATTATAAACTTGGTGGATGAGGGGGTTTGTTTTTAGAATAGTAGAATCTTCGGTGTTCAATTACTTGGATACACTTTGGAAGAATATGTACGTATTCATGTATGTACTTGGAACTGACATTTAGACAGTCTGTTACTAGTAAGTACACATCAACCAACAACATACTAGCCAGCACTAGAATAATGATTAAGTACATCGATCAAACTTCATGACACATATAGACAATAGAGAAGTTCCAGCTCCCACTCATAACCCATGTATATACTACGTTCGTGACACCGACCAGTCATCGATATGACACATTGTCTCCTGTCTCTCTCGTTATCAGACACACACTCCAGCCCATTATTGCTCCTTCTTCACCGTGGGCTCGGTCGCCAGCGTCTTGATGATAGTGGCCCCAACATGCGCTGACTCCTTCCATCCCTTCTGTCGCATCCAGAACCGTTCCGCCGGGTCAACGTCATGAGTCGACCACTCGCGAGCATCTTCTTCCAAGGACTTCCGCGTGATATCAGGGACTGCCACGGAATGATCCGGCCCATGCTCATCCCCTTCATCATCACTGCTGCGCGCCGCGATCGTTGACTCCAAGTACCGCTTGCGCATAAGGTACCGCTCCGTACGCTCCTTCTTGGCGTTCGGGGGTTCCAGTTTGGCCATGGCGGCGCGGATGGCATACCGCACCATGAGATAGATGTGCTCGGAGAAGAAGATCGTCAGGAGCAGTGCCCATCCGCGAATACCGGTCGGCTCGCCGTTCGGGCCTTCATGGCCGTTGCTAAACATGTAGAGAAGTGCGGAGCTGGTGATGCTGCCGACCCACGACAGGAAGCCGAGGCTTTCCAGCCAGGGTCCAATGGTGTCGGCGCGCTGAGGCCAGGGTCTCTTGCACTCCATGCAGATCTTGAAGAAATCGGACCGAAGCTCCACCCAGTTGTTGACCAGGAAGGAGACGGGGACGAGAGGCCAGACCGGAGAGAACAGGGCCAAATATCCGAACTGGATACACATCTCTCGCAGATCTTCAGTCACGTCGTAGTCCTCCAAGTCGGCTTCATTGCGTACCCGGGTCAGGAACTTGGTCTCGTCGGGGTGGTCGTCGAACAACGCCTCTTTCTTGGCCTCGGAGCCATCCTCGGTCTCAATCTTTCCTTGCTTTCTGCGGTTGTATTCCTTGTATTCGCGGGAAAGGCGCTGCTTCAGCATAGGCACAATGGTCTCCATGGCAAAGTTGACAGCTTGGGCTGTGACGGTGAAGTAGATCACCTGCTTGCGCAGACGGTCCGGGTCAATACTGAATTCAGTTCTCCGTGAGCTTGCATCTTCCTTCGACACGAAGGGCCGAACAGTCAGATGGAAGACATCAAGGTACGGCACGATCCGGCTCGCGAAAGGTACGTAGACAAAGGCTGTGAGAATGATTGGCAGATACGAGGTGATAAAGTTGATAATGAACACCTTCTGCGTCAGAGCCACATCGTATGCAGGCTGAGTTTCGTAATTCTCGTAGTCATTGAGCTTCGTAGCGATCGACACCAGAACCGAGCTCATCGTTGGGATGAGAGCCGAGAGCAGAATGGTGGGGATGAAAACCTGATCTGTTAGCGGACCTTCTGAAATCCCCGCGATTCAGACTCACCAAGTAGGTCTTCAGTGGACCATTGTATACCTCCGAGATGAAGATCTCAATGGCAAAGCACGTGGCGATAATAACGCCCAATGCAACCGCGGACAGTAAGGCGAATGGGACAATCAGCAGTTGTCTATACATCCGCCTGGTCGCGGGGAATACCCCCCTGACCTCACCAGTGCTTTCATCCTGAACTTCCCTTTCGGGCTTGAACTCGCGTCTCTTGGGTCGCACAACCGAGACCCCCTTTGTTTGCCAACGACAGCTGAGATCCTCCTCCTGGCGCTTCCAGTACTCGATGAAAATGATACACCACAAGCTATTCACAACCGCATATATGATGGAGAAGGATCCGAGGAGCAGCCAGCAAGAGAAACCGAATACGGCAGGGAACATAAGGAACCTAAAGTATGACTGTAGGAATGCGAAGTAAAAGCCCACCTGTACGTAGAACACCCATTAGCTGCAGATCAAGCACGCATGCAAGGCCGGTCTTGTCCTTACATTCTCTCCGAACGTGTTGCGTATCTGATCCAGATCATCAGCAGACAAAAACGTCTTCTGGCTCCAGTCCTTCATGCATTGTTTATTCATGGCCTCATCATGCAGCGGGAAGATCGCATCGACACATTTCCATTCGCCATGTTTCGGAGTGATACCAGCGCCACCTGCTTCTTTAGGGACAGTGATCATATGGTAGATAACGCGCAAACGTTCCGATTCCGACTGGGCCTCCGCTGAGGATTCCGACTCGGGTTCAGTATTGCGGACGCCATAGAGCCAATCGCGAATGCTAGTGGAATAAAATAGACAGATCAGTAAGAGATGACCAAACCCGACCGTACAAAGAGCAAGCGCTCACCGTGATTGATAGATGGCACGCTTCAGGCTCTTCTTCCGTGACGCTCGGACGAATATCAACAGCGACGATTCGTCCCCTTGCCTCACTTCGGTCTGCAGTCCAACCTCGAAGAGTTTCCGCAGCAGTCGATCAAGTTGCTCGGTCGCATGGGCGGCGTCTAAGTATAGATAGTGGTGGTTAGGTCGGAGCGACACCGGGGATTGCTGGCCTGGGGCACACCGCCATCTTACCAGTCTCACCACCAAAGTTGTAGCGAATCACGTAGTCCACATAGTGATTGCTATGCACAGGGTCCCGAGGGATAGTGGAAGCCATTGAATGGGGAAGAAAGAGGTTGTCGAGTGCAATCAGGGAATCATGAGTACGAAGAGGGAGCACTGTCGACAAAGCATCGAGAGTATCCCAGGGGAGCGGGATCTACTCGCAGTAATTAATAGTAATCTAGTGATTAGGAGGAGCTACCGTTTTTTCCCAGGGGATCTACGCCGCGATGACGACGTCACCACCGATCCGATCTGGCGCTTAGGGTTAGCCCTCATCGTGGCTGGTGCCGATCGTCGCCCCCATCGTCACCATGCTTTCATTCATCAGCAATTCTCTCTGCTCCAGTGTGCCTTGGTCGTTCATCCAGTTCCTTTGAGGGGTGATGATGCTAGCTTATGCACCGGAGAGTCCTTATCCAGATTGGATATGTTGTTTTTTCCTTCACCGCCTTCTGCTGCTGAGTATTCCGGGCGGTGAGACTTTATCCCTGTTGCTGATCTGCCAGTGGCTCCATATAAAGTAGTCCAAGAGGTCAATCATTTCATGTGATGCTTGAAAGCCACAGCCACAACATTATTCTAGAATCGTAATCTGTACAGTTTATTGCGATCGGGATGGACATGCATAGACAATCTCCCCATTTCCTCACTCATATGCCCATGAGGCTCGAATCATTCACAATCCCTCCGCCAACTTGTTCAAAGCCGGACCCTCCATCATCATCTTGGTCCACTCATCCATGGCTTTAGCCCCAACCTGCTCATAGAACTTGATACTGGGCTCATTCCACTTCAAAACACTCCACTCAAGACGTCTACCCTTGATCTCCAATACCTTGGCGGCAAGGTACTTGAGCAACTTGAAGCCGTAACCATTGCCCCGAGCACTCGGCTGGACATAGAGATCCTCAAGATAGATTCCCGGAGCTGCGCGCCACGTAGAATAGTTGTAGAAGAAGAGCGCCATGCCGACAGGCTTGGGTGTGGGGTTCTCCGCCGTCGTAGGAGGGGTAATAAGCGCAGTGTACACGGAGCCACGCTTGGGCGGACTGTCGGGGAAGGACAAGGTTTCAAGGAGAGACTCGTGAGTCGCCTCTACTTCGTGTAGGGCTTTTTCATAATCTGCCAGCTCGCAGATGAATTGGTGGATGATGGGGACATCTGCAATGGTGGCCAAGACATGGTTAGTTAGGATCGGAGGCATTGCCAATGGGCCAATGCAGGTCAAAACACTTGCCCTCAGGAGTCGCAAGGCGAATAGTAGGCTGATCAGACATTGTGTCGGTATGTGGTAGCTACAGAGAGAAGTAAAATATTGAAAAAGACGAAAGCAAGAAGCCGGGGAGGAATATATATGAAGACCCCGGAGGACCCGCCTGTCGTTCCCCACCGTGCGGTCGGGACCGCAAATGTCGCCTACTTGAAAGGGACTTTGACTGCCCTGCGCCCTTCCGTTGACATCGAGTCCTCTGGAAGGTCGCAGAACCACGAGAATAACAATGTCAACTAGGACTATTTTGGAGAGACAAGATGAGTATCGACAAGGTATAAGGTATAATAAGATGTGAATCAAGAATGCTATGTACCAGGTATAATTACAACTATATCCTTGCCTCCAAGAACCATGGTTTCCGGCAAAGGCCTAGAAGTCTAGCGTGAGGTGATGGCCGCCATCCACTTTTGCTCATCGGTCCTGTTCAAGTCAGCATATACAAGTCTCCAGGAGGGAAGGAAATAATGAAACATGGATACTCACCGGTCGAAATGTAACAGCATCCCCAGGACAGGCACCAGCTGCTTCTGGTAGTTCTTGTCCTTCTGCTCCAGGAATTGTAGGAGAACATTCTTCAGGTAGATGTAGTCGATGGATGATGTATTAGGCCCGGTGGGCGTCTCGCTTCTCCGGGTTGACGGACTGCGGTCTTTGGAGACTGGAGAGGCCAGCGCTTTGCGTGATCCGGAATCGATGGATGATCTGGATGACTGCGGATTGGGACCGAAGCGACTCTCGTCCGGTAGCATCTTGTTGGACTTGCGGGCCTTTTCTAGGCGCGCGTTGGTCTCCTCCACGGACCGGCGCAACTCGGCCTTCTCCTTCTCCAGATCACGGACTTGTTTCTCACTTTCGTCCAAGGCATCCCGCAACCGTGCCATAGCCTGTCGTAGGTCACTGAGCTCTTGGGTGGTCTTCTCCGACTCGGCCTCGAGTTGATCCCGTCTGCGTTTCCAGTCCTTCTGGGTATGCTCCAGCTCCTCCTTATCCTCCTCCACAGTACGCAAGGCTCGCTCCGCTTCGCGCAGCTTGCTCTTCAAGTCTTCCAACTCACGCGCCCGGCGGCGACTCTGAGCACTTGCTTCATCCTCAGCCCTGTCGCGTTCTTCGATGGCAGCCTCCATGCGCTCCTTGAAATCCCGTACTTTAGCCTCTGCACGGCCGTCAATATCATTGAGAAGGCGTCGCATGGTCTCGCCCTCCCGAGTCCGTTCGCTCAGCAGGCGATGAGCATCCGCTAATTCTTCTTCCAAGCTTTCACAACGCTCCCGGGCTTCCTTCATCTGCATGCCCAACTCCCCAGCCTGGTCGCGCATGCTATTCATCAAGCTTTGTGCGCTGGCATGCTGTGCAGTCTTCAGCTGGATCTCCTCTCGCAGGCCGCCAAGGTCCTTGTTCAACTGAGCAGCTTGGCTCTCGGCTTCACGGAGCCGGGTCCGAGCTGCCTTGAGCTCATCTTGAGCCTTGGACAGGTCCGATGCCAGCTTCTCCTTTGCCTCCACGGCTTCCTGCTTTTTGCTCTCTGAGTATCGCAAATCCGATTGGGCGACCGTCAATTTCTCCTCGCTCTTCAGACGACTGTCCGTCTCTTGCCTGATCTTCTGGTTAAGAGACTTCACTTCTGCGTCTCTTTCTGATATGGTAGACTTCAGCGACTTCAGCTCTGCGCGCAACTCATCATGCTGCCCCTCCAGGTTTCGCAAGTCGGCTGTCTTGCTGTTCAAGGAATCCTTTGTCGACTTCAGCTCCGCGGACTCAGCCCGTAGCTTCTTCACTTCCGGCTGCAGTTTCTGCAGGGTCTCCCGCAGTTCTGTCATATCCTTGAACCGCGTGGCAGCCAGCTGCTGGGCAGCAGAAAGCTCAGTCTCCAGTGTAGTAGACTTGATCTTGAGGCTCTCATATTCGTCCTTCAGGTTGTTGTGTGCCTTCTCGGTATCAACCTTACTAGACTCACTACTCGTCCGCAAATCTGTCAGTTCCTTCTCCAGCTTGGTTATCGTTTCCTCCAGCGCGTTCTTCTCGGCGGTTAGCTCCTTCACCTTATCCTTGGCTTCAACATGGTCTTGACCGATATTGAGTAAGTCATCGCGTAGAGTTTCGATTTCCTCTTTCAGATCCTCCTCTCCCTTGATCCTGGAGCAGAGACGGTCAATGGTAGCATCCTTCTCAGCCAGCTGCGTTTTGAGCGATTCAATGTTCTGCTCCAGCTCGGTAAGCTTCAAGGCTGCTTGATCATCTTGCTCTGCCGATTCTTGTTTCTCCTCGGCAGGAGCCGCTTCAACTACTTTGTTGGCCTCCTCGTTCGCCTTGCCTCCCTTCTTCTTCTTTTTGTTCTTCTTCTTGCCTCCCCCAGCACCGCCTGCGGGGTTCGCTACTGGTGCGGTAGGTCCGGCGGAGTCCTCTTTCACTGCTGCGGTTGGTGGTGAAGGAGCCAGACTCTCGCGAAGTTCATCAAATGCTGCTTCCTTTCCATTCGCAATTTGGTCTTTGGTCTGTTTCCATTTCTCGTTATCTTTGAGGTTAGCATCCAGGAAATTGACAACGTTCTGTAATTTGCCCATATCTTCGGTCTTCTGTCCCATTTCATTCTTGAGACTGGTGAATGTTTCTTCCGTCTCCTTGAGCTGGGACCGCAGGCTGTCAACCAGACCTTGTAGGACTCCAAGACGCCGGTCATTGGCCTCCTTCTCGCGATTCAAGTGTTCCAATTTTGACTCAATCTCTGCTTGCTGGTCAGCGCTCTTGGCATGAGCAGTCTGAGCCTGGAGTTGCTCGATCTCATCGGCCTTTTGCTTGAGCTCGGATTTCAAGTTTTCCATTTCGGAGCTTGTCTTCGCCACAGCCTCTTCTGATTTCTCAAGCTTGGCTTTAAGCTCCTCAACTTCTACTTGGTTAGAGGTCTTGAGCTTCTCCAACTCCGCATCCTGTTTGTCCTTAGTATCGCGCAACTCAACAAGCTCCCGGGTAGCGGACTCCAGGTTATGGACCATGCCTTCCGTTGACTCGCGGGCAACGGACAGATCGCGCTTGAGCGATTCTGTCTGGGACTTCAGAGTCTCAATCTCCTCCTGTTTCTCCTTCAATTCTGACTCCAGTCGCGGGATTTCGCTGTCATATGAGAAGAACTCCTCACTATCACCCTGTGCCCCAGACTCCTTCGTAGACGTCTCCGCAGTATCCTTGGCGCCAGTGGACGACTTCCCGGACTTCCCAGCGCTATCGGGTGTAGATTCGTCGGTAGCGGAGCTCTCGGTGGCTGGTCCTTCCTCTTTCTTGGCTTGGGATTTGCTCTCCTCCTTGAGTTTTGTAACTTCATCCCAAGCGGCCTTGGTGGATTTCTGGGACTCTTCCAATTTCTTCTTGTAGTCATCCCGCTCTGCTGTTACACGTTTCAATTCCTCGGTCACCAGGTCACCTTTCAACGAGATCTGATTCAAGTACTCGGTCAAAGCTTTTGGTTCGCTAATTGACGTCAGGGGAGTGTTCTCTCGCAGGGCAGCTTCGAATGGTTCGATCGACAGGACGCGCGAATGGGCCATGCGGTACGCTTTAAGGAGATCTGGAGTAGAGCAATACGTTAACAATATGGCCGGACGGTCGTTGCAGAGCGCTCATTACCTTGATAACGGGATTCAAGTTTGCCCAACCTTCGCAATTTCACCCGAATCTCAGGTGGCAGCTCAGACGGTGACTGGTTCGTCTCAGTTACAGGCTGAGCGTCGGGCTTCTTGGTTGCGGACTCCTCAGAAGACGTCTTCCCCTCCCCGGCGTTTTCCTCCGGGGCAGCTTCGGAGCCACCCGCGGACTCCAGACGCGGAGTGGCTGATCTGCTGGAACCTTCATCATCTCCGATGGCGAACTCCGGTTCGAACTCGTTGGGATCAGGGCCACGGACAGGGGTACCGGTGTTTCGCCGAGGACGAGAGGCTCGCCTTGTCGGAGATAAATTGCGACCCGTGGGATGACGAGCGGAGTTGGAGCGCGAAAGTGAAGTTTGGGCGGACCGTTGACGAGCTTGTTCTTCTGCAATCCGCGAATCGATTGCGTCGCGCAGGCGCTATATTGGGAAAAGGGCGGGATCAGCCACAGCACTGGCACGAGCACAAGATGGCACGGGGAATGCGAAACGGGTAAATAGTAATGGACAGGTTGAGAGGGAGATTTGAGAACAACTACTAGCGGGCGGCCACCTACCTGAAACATGACCGTGGCGGGCCTGTGAGCCAAGGCCACAGCAAAATTGATGAACGAAAGACAGAAAAAGAGAAGTCGGCAAAGGGTGAGGACAAGGAGAAGCAAGCGATAGGCAGGAAAGAAGGGGAGCATGAAATCCGGCGGCGGCGACTACAACAACTCATCCACACGGGGGCTTCTTTCGGTTGGCAGTTGGGCGGCCAGCACGGGGCAGAAAGCGGGTGCATAACTTAAGTGGACTCGTTCCTGGGGGCGGTGAGCAGCCACTTATCTACTATCTACACTACTAAATTCATGTAATTGTTTCTGTTCATTTCATATATCCGTTCCCCAAGAAGGTTTATCCATTTGAACCTTTGACTAACTGGCTAGTTTGTTACAATATAAAGGCCACACCGCATACTATAAATTGTGAGGTACTGACTGAACCCCGTCATGTTGAAGAAGCTACTATATATAGATAAAGAAGCGGGTCTCTTGGACGATAGCAATAACTCTAGCGCAAAGACACCCTCGATACAGCATTGAGATATAGAGACTAAAAGGAATGAAAAGGAAAACAACTAGAAGAGACTATCAATGACAGGAAATATTCAAGACGGTCGAGGGGACAATGGTGAGACTGCAATTACTGCTGCTTTCATTGTAAACAGCTATACAGTTACCAAGTTATATACTTGTACTGCTACTTAGTATGCTCTCGCTTCAATTATATATTTCTAAGTAGTGGTAGTACTATCCAGCACCGTGCTACCAGGGAATTACTTATATTTCTTCAGATGAAGCTCTACCATAATGGCGATATTTAAGACCTAAGACTATATAAAGAATCAAACATTCATACTTCAGTCTTTCTTTCGGTCTTACTTAGGATTGAGTCTCTGCAGAAGACTGCATTTGACATCTGTAGGAACGTTCAATAATTCCCCATTAAACAAATAATAGAAGTTGGAACATTGCCACT